AATCAATTTGATGTAATTGTTTTCATTCAATAGCACGTTGAGAACGATAGTGACATAATGCAAAAAATGCTATTTTGAGTAATGAGCGTTTAAAGTTCAAGAAATTGTAATCGGCCCCTATAAACAACGTATCGTCACTACGCCACCTAGCAGTTTCTATGCAAGCTACGGTCACAGGGATCTTTGCATTTTAAAGTTTATACTTAACAAAGAAAAATGTTGCCAAAAGAAAAAATACGTCATTTTTGGTTAGTGACATTGTCATCCTCAACGTGCGAATAAGAAATCAAACGTGCATGACAGATAATGACGTGTTACAAACTTTGGAGATTTTCATTTACTAATTCAAAAGAAGGGAATACAATAAAAAATAAATAATTTAAAGAAAAACATAAAACCCGATTGCGTAATTATTTTTTCATTTTGACAATATGGCGTCTGGTGTGGTGAATTTTGATTACTGTCATGTTAGTGACACTCCCAAGATTAAGACGAATCTATTGACGTAAGAATCATCAAAATCAGCCTACGCATTTGGTCTCTAGAACGCCACATAGAAACAAACATACATACATAGACTGATAAACACATTACACTCCCTTGCGTCGCGCAGTCGGGTAAAAAAAGTTCTCTACTTTGTAAGCAAACTACGGGACCAATTTGCGTTTGATATTTTTAACTGGGATTTTTTTACTTAATCTAAAAATCATTACGGTTATAATACACGAAGCATACTACTTAGTTAAGGCGGTATCCTCATTAGGCGCTTTACATACTGAAGCTTTTATGTAAAGGATTATTTTGATTTCCTTTTCCGACATGCGATGTTCTATTGCTAAGTAAATAACAATAATTATCTTAACAAATTTCATATAAAGAAATATTTTAATGTTAATATTAAAATTAATAATCTAATTAGTCACAAACAATCGCATTAAATATTATTGAATTAAATTTAATTGTGGTTGTATAATGTCGTCCCGTGGTGTAAAATGGTAAATCGTCTTTTATACACCTCAGCTTTATAAAATAAATATTTGCGTTCCACCGAATCATCTGAACCTTAATTCCTTACACATTCTTTATAGAAAATTTCTCGCACTTAAGTCAGATTTACTCACAACTGGCCACTGAAGTGTATAATAGTGATAAGATAGAATTTTTGGAGTGTGAAAAATATATGCAGGTACACAAATACAATTATAATTGATTTTAGTGGTTATGGCCCATTCTCCCTATTCGTTATTATATATGCATGCACATGCTATGCTACATGTGGGGAAAAAACAAGTGTAGATACAGCATTAGATTTTAAAACGAAGATACGTACGTATATACTTACGTGAGATGACGAAACAAGGAAACCATTATGGTTTTGTATTCATCTTGGAAACAGACAGTTTTTCTGTGCCATTGGCAGTGTGAGCGCGTTATTTAAATTTATTGGTATAAATGTAAGTTACACATTATTTATTATTTATAAAACAGTATAGAGAAATGCGAGTAGAATTTGGCTGCTTTTGAAACTTTGCCGGGACATTCTATAATAACTGTGGGTACTTGTGCCAGAAATATAGGTTAAAATAAAATAAAACATATATACTTATGAATGTGAATAAAATAAAATTCTAGTGATTACTAAAAAAGTTTACCTAGAATACATTATAATATATTTGCACAAAAAAGTGACCATAGCTTAGCTGAATTAACATAATAATAAGAAAATGTATACTTATCATTTTACTAAAAAGTTTGAATAATAAGAACAAGTCAATCGCAAAAGTCTAGTACCAATATTATCTTGTTTATTATGTCAGCAAAAGTGTTATAGTCATAGCGTTATCCCAATTACCTCTCGACCTGAGGGGTCGAATACCAACGACTTACAAAGAATGAGCGAGAGTGAATATTCAATAAAATAAAATATTGTTTGAAGTATAACTAACAGAGAAAGTTGGTTCTACGAGACATCATACGACATTGACACAATGATTGCGTAAGTCGCATATTTGGGAAGTTCGGCTTGGCACATCTCCAAACATTTACTTAGACTAAGTAAATATATAACCTGTTTATGTAAAGAAGAACGTCATCCTTGTAAATGTAAGTTTACCATCTGGACCTACCTAGGTCAATGGTACCGGCCGGCAAAGATAATTTAATAGTAGTTGCGTATCTGACGGAAGATGGGTCGCATCTCATCGGTCGCGGAACGTCAGAACTGACAAATATATGATAACATTCAGCCTTCCACACTCACTCAACGGATAATCTGTCGCGTACTCGCTTACTAACGTATAGTTCCTCGATGGTGTGTTTACACTAGTTGATGAAATCCGCGTGTGAGCGATTTCTGTTCTTCGCTGAGGTGACTCGCAGGCTTGAGACGCTTAACGGATCCTCTGCCTCATTTGCCCCGACCCTAATGTACTGGTGTGAATTAACCATTTAATGTGTCATAATTACTTTATTTTTATTGTTTTATATTATTAGACCGACGTTATCTGATCCACTCAATTGGGATATACATATTATTAAACGGTTGTAATAATACCTACCTAAAGTAAGTGAGTATAAACCAGAAGGCCTACTCTATTTAAAAAAAAAGAAAAAAAAATCTTCTATTTTCGAAACACTAATACAACTCATTTTCGATAATACATGATGAAAAAGAGGTAGAACCTGAGACAGCCTCTGATGCAAAGACAATCTTCACAGATATTGTATTATTTGTATTGTACGTATTCTTTGTAACACTTCAATGACCTATTAGTCGTTGGTATAAATTAAATCTTTACTAAGAAACAAAGTCTGTTTTTCCAAATACACAAACTGACTGATTGATAAGGATTATAAGTATAATTCAAAAAGATTTTGTGTAAATTAATTAAAAGCACGATTTTATGCTTAAAATAAATTAGTTAACATACTTAGTGAATAGTAAACCAAAAAAAGTTTTGCAACTCATACATTAGCCGTGGACTATCGATCTGCATTATTTCAAATGAAATAATTACAAGCAAAGCAGCACAAGTACTGACATTAAAAGTGATTAGTCTCAATTACTCCGGAATAAGGTTTAAAGTAAACAGGTTCATTTAACTTTGACCGGTAATCGATACAGCAGTGTCACAAGAGAAATCGCTCGTTGCAAGTTACGAAATCTATTGTTTTAATATTGGGTACCCACATATAGATTTTAGTCACATTGTCACACTTAAAGCGTGCGGAACGTTCTCGTATCTAGACTTAGAGATAGTGTTGCCGACGAATCCATTGTAACGTAATTACTACCGCAGGAAGTGTGAGTTAAAATTTATTTTCTCTTTTAATTTTAAATGTTACATTCAAATGCATAGTGACGGGAGGCTTTTGTGTCATTTCATTGCGGTGATTAATTAAGCGTTGTGTATTATGAATGATAGAATATGAAGTGTCAGAAAGTGTTCAAGTACTGTGACTTTTTCTATTTTATTACCTATAATATCTGAGTGTATGAGAAATGTATCTCCAAGTATGTTGCTAAACGAATTTCGAGAACGAGAACCGATGCCGTTGTTTTATAGAAGCATGAGAAAAAAAAAGAAGCTGATGACAAAAAAAAAGGAGCATGATTTCTAATATTTCATATTTGGTTAGTTTCTGTAACATCATTTTTTATTGAGCTAAGTTTGGAGATTGCCTTTATACGATACTATTTTAAAGTGCTGTTTTAATTTTTAGACACCTACCTACGCAAAAACTTATGTGTTTGCATCTACGACATGAGTGGGTAGAAATCAGTAGGAATATGGTTGTTATCCATTATGGGATTTTACCTAATCTATCTATTAAAATAACGTTTCGCAGAGGAGAAACGTTATTTGCCCCAGGGGCGGGCCTAAATAAGGCAACTCGTTGACAACCCGTAAACCCATAAAAATATTAGAAAAAATATTTCAGTGCGTAAAACAAATTGATCATCTACATACTACTATATTATAAATTGGAAAACTTTGTATATTTGTTTGTTTGTTTGTTGTTTAATTGTATTGAATAGGCTTAAAAACTACTAGACCGATTTTAAAAATTCTTCCACCATTCGAAAGCTACATTACCCACGAGTAACATAGGCTATATTTTATTTTGGAAAAAAATTGGGTTCCGTAAGATATTTGGGTTTTTCGGACACAAGGTGTAAAAAATCAACCAGAAATGTTACTTATTATCCGTACGCTGCCTAAATTATAAAAGATAGAACCATAAAATGTTCTAATTAATTGTAGATCTTATAAATATCTTCAAAAAAGTCTGCGACACACTATACCTATCTATGTTGAATGAGGCACAAAAACCATTTATTATTTAAAAATCTTGAATTTTTTTAGGACTAGGTATATTTAAACGCGTTTATTTTGCGCATGCTATTAATCCTTATCAAAATAAATTTATGACTAAGTACAGGTTATGTAGATAATATTTGGTCTTGGAATGATTAAAATTGGACGTTTGGTTTTGAAATTATGGCGAAATTAAAATATAACGATTTCTGCTGCACGGCCCGTTATAAAACAGTCGCTTTCTCTGTCCCTATAATTCTCTTGTATGCTTAAATCTTTAAAACTACGCAACGGATTTTGATGCGGTTTTTTTTTATAGATAGGGTGATTCAAAAGGTAGTGTTTTTATGTATAATACAAGACCACGTGGGCGAAGCCGCTGGCGGAAAGCTAGTATAATATAAAATTTAAATATAAGAATTCAAATGATGGAATATAACTAAATAGCTTAAGTTACCATCGACCATTTATTGACGACCTCCGTAACCGAGTGGTTCGCACGCCGGTTTCAAGGTGTCGCCATCTCTGAGGCCCCGGGTTCGATTCCCGGTCGGGTCAATGTAGAAAATGAACTTTTCTATATTGACTCGGGTCTGGGTGTTGTGGTACCTTCGTTGTCTCAGATACTCCATAATACGGGGGCTTTAGCTACTCATCTTGGAGTCTGAGCAATGTATGTAATGTTGTTAAATATTTATTTATGCATAGTGATTAGTAGAAGTCTACCTTATGAGCTATAGTTAATACTTATTCATTTATTTATAGCAGATATGATCGTAGCGGAGTCTTGGCAAGCACGGTTCATCCTGTGGCTGTTACCTATTATGGTGATCATCGGTCTGCTGGCTTTACTGAGCTTCATCGGCCTACTCTTCGCAATTAGGATCTACGCGAGTTACACCTGCGGCCGATACAGGGACAGGACCAAGATGGACGGGAAGACTGTCATAGTTACAGGCTGCACCAGCGGTATTGGGAAGGAGACTGCGAAAGAGTTGGCCAAGAGAGGTGCCAAAGTGATCATGGCTTGTCGCAACTTGGATGCTGCTGAGAAAGTTAAAAGTACGTATTCTTATATATAAAGCGTGACCAATCTAATGATTCTAATAGCGAGGTAGCTGGCCCGTTTCGTTTGTTTCTTTATAACTCAACACAAAACGCGAGGACAGATTTTAACGATCCTTATTTATTTCACAATAATCTATCTATGTTACGACTTTATTATCAGTTAGCATTGTGAAAGCAAAATAAAAAAATAACACAATAGTTTTGGTTTACATTTAAACAAAATTTAACCACCAGACGCTACACACACTGTGAAAAATATAAATACCTATTTTTTCAGTATCTGTATACCGCCCAGATATACTTATAAAGAACAAGCAATTCGAAAATCTCAGAAAATACTATAAATTATTAGAAATCCGTTAATCAAAGATTCCAGTTTTTCAGTTTACTTGGCGAATTTACCCAAATTCAAAACGGTCGCTTTCATTTGAATAAGAATATAACTAGAAAGTGTGTGGCATCACTAGCAGATCAGTTACATCAAAACTTATCACCGAACACAAAGAAAACCAGTTTTTAAATAGTTTCGATTTCATCTAATACCTGCCGCTTATCATATGATTTCGTTAATGATTGGTTCGTTCGTTTCTAGAAACAAATATATACAATGAAATATCGTTTAAAAATCTAATAATAGTGGCGTGTTCATAAATGTGAGAAATATTTTTTACAACGCCAGAATATGGAACAGCGTAGCAAAGAAGTGCCTTGTTATGAGACATAAACTCGAAGACCGAACTATTGTAGAACTTAAGAATAATATTGAAATTTATGCAATTTTTTCAGATGACATCATCGAATCGACTAAGAACGAAAAAGTATTCGTGAAAAAACTAGACCTCAGCTCATTTAAATCAATTAGAGCGTTCGCTGAAGAAATCAAGAGCACAGAAGACAAATTAGACGTACTAGTCCACAACGCAGGTTACGCAGAGACCTTCAGGAAGAGGAAATCTGAGGACGACATCGAATTGACCATGGCGACCAACCACTACGGCCCGTTCCTGCTGACTCATCTCTTAATAGATTTGCTGAAAAAGAGTACGCCGTCCAGAATCGTCGTTGTCGCATCTTCTCTTTACCGTTTAGCTTCAGTTAATTTAGACAACCCCAATCCTATAGATACTTTTCCCGCGTACCTTTACTACGTTTCCAAAGAGGCTAACATACTTTTCACAAGGGAATTGGCGCGTAGACTAGAAGGCACAGGAGTGACCGCTAACTGTCTACATCCAGGCCTAATCGACTCCGGTATTTGGAGGAACGTACCAGCCCCTCTAAGTTGGGCTTTACTTCTGGTCATCAAGGGCTTTTTCAAAACTCCAAGAGAGGGAAGTCAGACATCGGTCATGTTAGCCGTCGATGAGAAATTGGAGAAAGTCAGTGGCAAATACTTCTCAGATTGCGGTGAAAGCTCCGTGTCAAATCTGGCCGGCGACATGGGTAGGGCCAAGAAATTGTGGGAGATTTCAGAAACAATGGTCAAGTTGGCAGATACTGATCCAAAGATATAAGATGTCGGCAAAAAGTAACTAATAGAGTGATCGTATATCACTTAGTCTATACCGCCAAAATATGACCAAACCGTTTGGAAATGGGATTACATGTTAATTATTTTTCGAAGAGTAATCCAAAATGTGTTAAGGCGGAAATGGAAATCCTCAATATTAAATTAAAATCTCACGTAAACTAACGAGTAACTTGTGAAAATTCGGAAGTTTATCTTAAAATACCGAAACATTCTGAAACTCTTGTGTCCAGTTTCACAACGTAATTTTTCTGAACTCTGCGGGTTTTTTTATAGATACGCTCACTTTTTTCTATTTGAAGACTCAAAATTGTTTTTAGGTATTTTCTATATATAAAACTATCACGCTTTTCCTTGTAAAGCTTCTCTAAATGATAACAAATAGTGTTAAGATTATTTATGTCACAATAATTATTTAATTTTTACTTAATAAACTGTTTACAACATTTTATGTTGAGTTTTCGTTTGTTTTTACCCGACGGCGAAGCGAAGGAGGTTATGATATTGCCGGTATGTATGTCTGTAAGAATGTTCATCTGTTCCCTTATAACTTCGAAACTACTTATCGTAATGAAGTATCATTAGAAGGCTCGTGCTATGTTAGAGAACATAAAGTAAGAAACTAAAACGTGTAGGATATCAAATTTCGTGGTATGCCATAACAGTTTATTTTGTTATGATCAGTGACTTTGGTCATCGCTATTAAAATATGTAGCTGTAGTCAGGTTATAGTATTTGAACTATTTTTTTTTATAACTAAAAAAAATACTTCAAAATAACAAAGCACTTCAAAATTATGTTTCTATATAAATTCAATATGACGTTGCCCTAAAACGATAGCACGACAGTAGCACCACAGCATATCTGTATTTATCTCGGATACTAAACCTACATTTGCAGTTTCCCTTCTCTGTTATCACCATCAACCCTGTTACGTATCCTCTGCAGTTGCTCAAACCTTCCTTGGATAGTTTCGGAGGATAAGCTATAACCGTCCACGCTGCCCCAATGCGGATTTGAGGGTATTAACAACTGCAAATGCAGCCGTGCCTGGCGAAGCACGGAAAAGCTAGAGATATATATATATATTTTGTTGACCCAAAGCTCGAGATATTTTTCCAGTGACCGACCCTTGCGAGAGTTGCTCAACAACTTTCGCGAGCCGCAGCGCTTATCCAGAGATTAAGGGGGCAATATTTTTTTCATATTGGCAATATTTTTTTAAACCTAAACCCAATAGATGAGGGGGCGTCCATAAATTACGTGAGATGTTTTAGGGGGGGAGGGGGTCGAGGCAAATCTCATCTAATCTTACGTTGGAGAGAGGGGGGGTCTCGGCAAATATCACGCAATTTTTTTTTCCGATTGAAACAAAAACAAAAAAATACTATTTTGGTCCATTTAATCCAGATTGTACATGCTTAAGATTTAATCTTAAGCGTAATCGTATACGATTAAGATCATTCACTAATTCGTTCAAAAGAAAATAATTTCATTCATACTTCGACGCTATACATCTACTGAATGTCAAATCACCATATTTGTAGGGTTCTAACGATATGTACTTTCGATATCGAGTAGGTATCGATACTTTCAAAAGCTATACTCGATACTGAGTATTCGATACTACAACAAGGCAAATACTCTCAAGTACTCATCAAATTGCATTTTGAAAAATCTCACGTGAGATTGGGGAATGGGGGAGGCGGTTGAATAAAATCTCACGACATCTCACCAGGGGGGGAGGGAGGGTCAGAAAATTAAAAAAAACACCTCACGTAATTTATGGACGCCCCCTGACGCCAATGAGACTAGAATTCATTTCAAAAATCAAAAGGGCGCCGTTGTCTTTGTACTTAACACTATTATTTCATGAACTCATTGTTTTATCGATGCTGAAGTTCTGAAGCATCTTTCTATATGGCCGGTCATAGATGGAGTTCCTCCAAACTTTAAAGGCACGTTAAGCCGTGTTGGTCCCGCGTGCATTTACAGTCCTTAATACCCGCCAGCTTCGGCTCAGTGAAACTTGGCGCTCTAGGCAAAACACTAGCATGACTCCCATAAAAAAACCCACCAAAATAAAACTTTAATGAAGGTACTTACACTTGTTAAAGTGTGGTATTTTGCCAATAACAAAATAAACTCCTTAGGTACTTTTGAATACCGTGGATATTCATTAAACAAGTTTTTTTAAATAGAGTACATAATACAATATTTGAATACATAATTGCTGCCCTCAAATACGAGCGAAATAGCAGTGGCAATATGAATAGACTATTGATGATATTATTGCTTTATTTATAAATTAAATCTCTATATTTGATTAGTTACCCCCTTCCACAATACTGATTTCCTAGCCAAGTCATTTTCTGTCAAAGCAATCAAACTATGTAACTCTCTGCCTATAGATGTTAGACGCGCGCAGTCACGTTGGACTTTTCTTCCTGAATTTACACTCATATCTGCTACTTTATAACCATATATTATATTAATTTATTTTAGATTATTCATTTGTATTTATAAATATTTTCATGTTTGTTTCTCCTAATGCACTAACCCGCAGTTAATTTCCACAATTGTTGTCGTTCCCTTTAGCCTAGGGTCGCTTGGTAGAGATTGCTACCATAGCAATAAAGCCGTCTTTTATGTAACTGTATCTAGTATGATGTACTTTTTGAATTTGTTTTATAGTGCAATAAAGAATATTCCTTAAACGTTGGTAGTGAAGACACCTTACCAGTAGTTTTCAGATAATATTTGTCAAATAAAACCTAAAATGAAAACACTGTATTAAGACATTTTATTTTACATTTGTAACAATATCAATCTGGTACTAAATAACCACACTACATTATTTATATCTTATATATGTGTCTATAAATCGTGAAGTATTGGTTAGGAAAATAATTTAATATTAATGAGATATTTACAGCATGTAAAAGCAACATTATTTTGCAAAAAAGTTTATAATAAAAATAAGTGGTACAGTAAATAGTTCATAACATGTAATGCCATAATATATTGCCTGTAAGTGTTAAGAGTGATGAATTTCTATTTAATATTATGTAAATCTAAGAAACATAATATTTTTAGTCCATACACAAAGTGGAGCCAACTGTGTTTCAGTGATTTTTAATAGTTTTCATTAGGTATGTCACTAATTCCCAATGAATTTATAATACTTTTAACAAATTAACACGAATAAGTAAGCAGATTCATTAAAGCCATCAATAACTTAATATTATTTGTGATTTTCCATGTTGAAAGTATATAGTCTCAGTAAAATTTGTGGTTTTTACATACACTAAAATCTATTAGATTTTTTTATGACAATATCACTAAAAAACTATTTCATATTTAAATACATATTCAGTCTTAATACTGACTCGTAAAATTATGTATTAACAACGATTTAATAATAATACTAATCTATTAAATCAAATTGATCTAAGATAGTTTTGTCTACACCCAGTGCAGTACCAAGACTTTGACGAGGCTTCCTGCTTTCTATTCCATCCATATCCATACACAGCTGATCTAAATTGTCTGTAGACTTTATACTCAATACACTGCAACTAGGACTCAATAGATCAGGCAATAAAATTTTATCTGCTGTGAACGCATCCTTATTGACAGCATTGCAATTCTCTTTTTCTTCATCAATAGTTGTAATCTCACCATCACCATCTTTACCTTCAGCAGGCAACACATTGGCTCTTACTTTCTTAAACCTAGTTATTATTCTTTCCAAGGAACTTGTTTTTCTAATCAACTGTGCATTTGTTTTAGGTGTTTCGGTCTTTGATTCGTCTTTGATATCAAAACTCCTTCTAGGCTCATTTAATACAGGTTTCAATTCAGGACACTCATGCTCAATTTTATTTAAATAAGTTGGAGATTTAAATGAAGTTAAATCTTCCTCAATTTCATTGAAAACCTTTTCCACTCTCTTCTCCTGTTCTTGTAAAATGTTAATAACAGGAAGACTCGCAGCATCTATCAATTTTCTAGAATTTTCTAAACCAACAACTCCATCTGGGGTACCATATGTGTCATCTTTCTCTAGTGCAGCTATACCCGATACCTCTAAGAGTGATGGACTGTCTTCTTGCATAACAGAAAGTTTTCTTCTGCTACCTTTCACAAAACACTTCCTTTCCCGATTTTCAAAAAGATCAGGTGAAGAATGACTCCTATATAAAGCGTAGTTCTCATTAGATACATTTGATTCATTAAATAGACCACCCTTTTTAACATTAATATTCGGTCTTTCAATTGAATACTTAAATTTCTTTGAACTACTGGACTTTTTGGTTGAAAGTAACCTCATAATTTGTTGCTTTGTAAACCCAGCAGAACACTCAGCTATTGTATCATTACCTCTACTGTTGGCTTGTGATATCATTGAGATATTGTTGAAATTAGTACTTACATTTGGCCGATCGTAGTTGCTAATACGACAAGATATAAGGCTGTTAAAGAAGTTGTCTCTGGGTGCTTGACAGAATGGAGTAATCAAGGGTTTCAACTCTGGTTTGCTAAAACTAAAAGAGTTATTCTTCCTTCGCAAGTTAAATTGATGTTTCGACATTCTTAGAGGTGTGAAAGTATCAAAAAGTATTTGTCCAGTGCTCTCTTTGTTTGCTTTTAAGCCTGTGAGATCAGGAAGTGGTGGTATTCCAAATTCTTTCAATGTCACTGATTGGGCAAACGGTAATCTTGATGGCTAAAACAATAAAAACAAAATATGCTTTAAGATTAGGAACCAAAAAATACACTTTGGATATAAAAATTGATGCCAAAACTTGATAGTGTCTAGTGTGAGATATTGTTTTAATGCTAAGATCATTTCAGATATTCGCACACCTAGATCTAAACTGAGACAACTCAAAAATTTGAGTGAGTTTTAACTTAGTACAATATTTAAATTCTCGGTGATCATACGCATCTGTACAACATAACAGATTCAATAAAGGTTTGGGGATGAGCTGTTAGATAATTTTAGCTTTCTTTTATTGAATCAACAGTGGTCGCGCTCCTGCCACATAAACAAATGTATTATCAGAACTCCACATTAGATTTTTGGGTTGTCTTAATTTAGATCTAGGTGTGCGATATGTCAACTTTGTCAAAAAAGTGTGATGGCATCATTGAAATATTTACCTGTAGCTTAGCTTCTGTATTCAGTATCCTATTATTAAGCATTTTCAGAGCAGACACTAATTCACTATAATTCCTATTTCCGGTTTCTAAATATTCATTAAACTTGTATATTTCATGACCGATCTCGTTGTTTTTCAGAATAAAACAGACCGATATCAAATAACTTTTGATCAGATTAGGGAAATATAATACTTCATTTTTTACTATATTTTTGAGGATATACTTCTGTTGACTGTTCACTTGATTTTCTAATTCACTTGTGCACATTTCATCTGTTGTATGATTGTATTCAACCACATATGAGCTACGGTCAGCTTCTCCTGTGTATCTCCCAATAAGGGCAGCAGTATTTCTCTCGCACTCAGTACATACTTTCAGCATTGGTGCTACTTTCTCACCCCATTTGGACACCATTTCTTTAACGGTCCCATCAACATAATGTAACCAGTTATCAAAGAAAGGTGCTGGACGCTGCACATTTTTAATATCTGATATCTCAGTCTTAGTAGCCTCATCTAAAGAATTTTTATTAATATAATTATCAACTAAATCATCTATAAACTTCTGGGCGTTCAATGATGAAATTGTTTTTTCCATACTAACAATTCTTTCAGTGAAAACAGACGCAATTTTCTCCATAGCACATCTCTTTTTTTGGTAATCAGAAAGCTTTTTTACAACAACCTTCACTTCTTTATTGGTATCTTCAAAAATATCTCCACTCTCACAATTGTATTTTTCAGTAACTGTTCTATATAGCACTTTTTTATCGTCTTTAACGATTTTAGCTACGAGTACACGTTGTACAGCTAGCTGTGACATTTGAAACATAAGCATAATCACTTTATAACATCCAGGGTTCACCAAATACGATGACATTACAGGAGACAACAATCCTTTCGCGCTATAGTCGTTAATAAACACGGACAGCTGGCTTCTGAATAGTTTTTCGCTTTTCGAGTCATATAAAGGCCATGAAAATTTATCAGCAACTTGAACGTCTATGATTGCTACCAAATAATAAGATAAATGGTTGAACAAGTTTTGAGTGGGCTTCTCCACTGCATTTTCCTTAAGAACAAGTCGCGATAACTCTATCGGCATTGGCCGTAATTTACTCAAAACCCTCACATTAAGAAAAGTCTCTCTTTTGAGATTCACGACAAGGTCTTTTTGATTCGTAATTGTCGCCATCGTCTACTATTTTTATTTACATACGATATAGGATTGATATAGTAATAGGTTTTCATAGGAATTAGAACACTCAATCATAAATATCTTTAAAAACGAAACAACTTTTCGTAACTACTGAGCTACCCAGGACTAAAGCCTAAAGCACTCTTCAAATCTTCATTTTGAAAGCGTCAAAAAAATGACGTTTGTAAACAGCAGTCAAACAAATCAAATTTTCCGTTACGGTCATAGATTATAGATTATTTCATAGATTTACTGTATATTTTACTCTTGGTTACAAAATACTTTTTATTCCGGCTCCAGACACCGTCCTGTCATAGGTATACCCATGGATGTACAATTTTATTAAAAAATAGGCTTGATAACTCTGAACATTTGTAATGAGGAAGTATTTAAAATAAATAAAATAACTTAAAAATATGATACTAAATGCAGCACAAAAACGTTAAACCAAAGAGAATAGAATAGGGTATTTGACACTATCGAAAATAAGTTGCATTTTGTGGTCATCCTGATAGATTATAATCTAATAAAGCTTATTTCTTAACATCTGCAGAAAAAACATGTTTAGATTTAGTAAAATAACGTGAAGAAAATGCAATATTTTTAGAAATTTACTCAACGACGAAAACGTCCTATAATTGGTCGTCGTCACAACCAATCACGATTCTGTTTACTGGCCTGTGACGTCATCAGCTGTCATGTCAAAGTAGTGTTAGAAAGATACATAAAATATCGATGCCTGTAGGTATCGAGTACTTTATAGTAATTTACTGATAACAGAATACTTTGCCGCTTCTATTGATAAAAACTGCCAAAAAAAAATACAGAAAAAAAGAATCATTTACTAAGCCTTTTAAAAAATCCAAGAAATAGGGAAAACGCCAGCAATTTGAAAAAAGAGCAACTTACATATTTTTCTCATTTCTTGAACTTTACTATAATAATTCAAAATTACAAAGTCGATTTTGATGATATATAGTGTTCTCCAAGTTAAAAACTAATTAAAAAACATCATCGGTATCTGATATCTAATTAGCAAATACTATGCATTTAATGGACAGACATACTACATGCATGTATAAAAAAAATAGAATATTCTTTTTCGTACTAATGTCTCATCCATATGAGCCATTAGCCTGTCGACCTACAGATGGCTGTAGGTCGACAGGCTGTAAAGTGCGAGCCCTGTCAACAAATATAAATAAGTCGTAAAATGTTAATGACAAAGAAAAAACCAAAAAGAAAACCTTCAAATGTATCGATATGAAATAAAAAAGTTTCAATACTTTTAGCGAATCCTTACCTAATTTTATCACCCATCTCTACTCTATATAGCTACTATACTATTGTGATTGTGAATCTATTTTCTTCTAGACTCGAAGTTTGTTTGTTATTTATAGAAGTATTAGTACATAGTGGCACTACGCACCACTTGTAGCTCACTTTTTAAAGAAAACCAGAGCAGAGAAAAATAAAAGACGTAAAAAATACGCACTACGACTTCAATTTCTCCTTTAAATTATTATTTCAATTTACTCTAGGGATGATCGATATTCATCGATGTTGAATAAACATCGATGTTTTGTCGTCGATGTTTTAAATGAGGAAGTAGTTAAAAAATAAAAATTAGTTCTTGCAATCATACTAGATGTCACTCGCGAGTTTTGGATTTTGTTTATGATATTCATTCAAATTTTATTTCTAACGTAATAAATGTAAATTGAGTATTTTCGATTAATAAATATGACATCGTTTTGTGTTTCTTATAATGTCTCACTTTCAAACTAATTTTAATTTATTTTAATTGTAAGTTTAAGTTGTTTATTATGTTACGTGTAAAGGAACGATGTTTGGTTGATACGTCAACATTAGTGATGAGCCAACTTATTGGTTGCTCGTAACTTTCGTCGAATTCAGGTTTGGAATGGAGAACAAAAATGATGATGAAGATGAAGTGTCATTATGCATCCACAAAACGAATGATATTAATATAAATATCAAAATCAATTCAATCTAGACTGTTACATAGTACTTGTGAAAGTCGAAAACTTTACCAATGGTTCGCAAAACTAAGGCGGGAGATCTCTTACTGACAAGAAACGGCAAGAAACTCAGCAAGGGCTGCTTTTTTAATTTCAACTAAACAACTCAACTATACTATATTTGAGGGATCGTAACCACCTAACGCACACGATACCACCGCAGAGATTTTAAGAGACCATAACAACTCTAGGTACTTAGTAAATAATATATTTCAATAAAACGGATTTCTAGAGTAGGTTGTGTAGGAATTCAAATTATTATTAACAATATTATTGTAAGAACCAAAAAGAACAAACCCGCCGTACGAATTAACTTAACACATGGCTCGACGTCCGCCGTCGACATGCAAGATCAGTAGCAATATAATAACTGTACGTGTCTTTGACATTTGAAATTTAAAGTTACAACCTTGCTGTTCGTTTAGAGCAGACGTTTCTTGTTAATTGCTGAATGTTTATTAAGATGATTTAATTATGAATATAAGATTTAATAACTGATAATAGTTTTATAAAGTCTTAATTTCGAAAGCACAAGTTATTTGCACGTTACACTTTGCACAAACGTCATTTTAGCCAGCAGTTATGTTATTTTGTACGAATATATAGTATATTTGATACATATCGGGTAAGTTTATAGATAATAAACGGATTTTTCTTAAAAATTATTGTTTTTATGACTTTTGTTGCTGATTAATAAACCCTATTCATTCATTCACCATACATAATATAAAAAAAATATTGAGAATTGATGTAGTTTTGTTGTTGTAAGTTCAACAAACAACTAATAGCAATAAAACTAACTTACCTAGTTGTTATTTTTTCAGAACTTTTGTTAAATATTAAAATGAAAATTCCTAGACCTACTATGACATAAGTACCTATTTTATTTATAAAACGTAATATTATTGTATACCGTAGTTAGATGCCACTTTTAATTATATCACAGCATTCAATTGATTTCCATAAATTTAAAAAGCCTCTGTGCTCACTTCCATTATGTTAGTTTCCATTTTCCTCTATACAAATAAAAAATAAATTTATTCAAAGATTACTTTGTATTAATCGAGTTGCGATTGCATAACTCGAACTAGTTAAATTTCAACTCGATATTAATCCAAGTTATCAGATCCATAACAACACTAACAAATCTATTCTCTTTGGTTTAACGTCATGAATTGACGTTTAGATCCAACAATTTGTGCTGCCATCTAGTAACATAATTTTTTGTAGTTTCTTTATTTTTTTTAAATACTTACTCATTGGATAACATCAGCACATCGATGTTTTCGTGCCAAACATCGATGTTTATGAATAAAATGTCACGATACCCTTTAGGCCATCTAACGTGCTCCAGATGTACTAGCTAGATGATCTCGTATATCAAGTTCAACTATTTTATACTAGATGTCACCGGTTGCACTCGTAATTGAAGTACACAAACAAATAGTTTTTTTCTTTGCTTGCATTTTCCTAGGAAATTAGAAATATATCTGTCAACTTCAGCGCTCGTTGGTATCTTATAAGTTACTTTATTCACCGATTAATCTATCTATAATTGTAGACATTATAACTTAAGTCTAAGACCCAATAGAAAAGGGATGTTTTTCTATTTACTAATCTCAATAATATGAAATATATATAAAACTTAATATTTTAATGACTTACCGAAACATGTCGTTGAATTCTGCGAAATATTTCTTCTTTAAACACTAATATTTGAGTTCTTTCTTCTCTTGTTAAATTGCGTGCCATAATCTTTTATTTATACAGCAATATGATAACATAACACACGATATAGCAGTCTAGTTTAAAAAACAGAGTTTCGTGGAAGCAAGAACCAGAGGCCAGGTAGCATAAACAGTAGAAAGATTAACACATATCACAATTAGATTAGTTGACAATGGGCGAAATGCAGATCGCAACTAAAAAAAACAAAAAAGTGTTCATTCAAGTCAGCATCCTTGTAGACGCCACTCATGGACATGTTCATGCAAATATCAATACGAAGTGGAAAAGCGCAAATGTCCGCGATAGTACGTACAAAATAACATGACTTCTGGCTAGAATAACGTTTGTGCAAAATACAACGTGCAAATAAGATGTCCTTTCATTTTATTTAATTAAGTTATTAAATCTTATTTTCATAATGACGAAGTATTTCAAAAATAAAAAAATGTTTTTGAAGTAAAAACTCGATGACACTAGCGATATTTGGATAATTGCCTATGATATTCATTAAAATTTTCTATCTGACGTATTAAATTAAATTGAGTATCGAAAATTAATAAATATGACATCGTTTTGTGTTTCTGTTAATCTAACTTCTAAATTTTAATTTATTCGAATCGTAATTTTAAGTTATATATTATATTACGTGTAAAGGAACGATGTTTGGCTTATATGTCACTATTAGTGATGAGCCATCTTATTGGTTTCTCGTATCTTTCATTCGAACTCAGATTTGGAATGAAGAACAAAAAGCGGAGCTTGTAATTGTATTTGTCATTATGCATCCACACGTTGAATGATATTAATATAAATATCAAAATTAATTAAGTCTAGGCTGTTACATAGTACTGGTGAAAATCGAAAATATGAAAATGGAGAAGAACCAGCAGGAAACTCGACAAGGGCTGCTTTTTTCTCTGTTTTATTTACAACAGAGAAGTCTTACTGGAATGTGACTTAATTAGCCTATGAAGCCACTTTCCATTATAATATCAGAAATAACAAGACATAATTTTTCGATTACTGAATAATATGCCCGTAGCCAAGCCATACATACTCATTGACAAATCAATATACAATATTCATAATGAAATAAAATGGAAGAAGTTACGCAGTCCAGTGCAGATTCACCCTCACTGGTAGCATCCGTTAAAGAACTTCACGCATGAGTCAGCCATCGCTTCACTCAACTACATATATTTGAGTGAACGTAACGACTCGATGCACACGACACCAGCGCAGAGACTTTTTAGAGAGCGTGAGTATTTTAGCTACTTAATCAGTAATATATTTCAAGAACATTGATTTCTAGAGTAGGTTGAGTAGGAAGTCAATATATTGTTGACAATATTAGTGTTAGAACAAAATAGCACATACCCACCGTACGACATAACATCTAGCTCGACATCCGCCGCCGACATGCAAGTTCAGTAACGATAGTATAATAACTGTATGTGTCTTTGTGATTTTGAAATTTTAAGTTATAACCTTGCTGTTCATTTCTTGTGAATTGGTGAATTTTTATTAATATAATTTAATGAGGAAGTATAAAAAAAAATCACTAAAAAGCACGTCACTAGATAGCGTCGCGATAGTCATTTCCGTTCTTTTTAGGAATATTCAATATGCATATTAAAAAACTAAAATTAGCAAAGTCCGAAACTTAGATATTAATACAAATACGAAAAAGGACAAATATAATATGAGTTGTTTATTGAGTTTGTAAATAATTTTACTTTTATACATGAAAGAATGACAGAAGGATTTTCATGGAGAAACCAAGAAAGTACCGTAGCAACTACTAGCTGGATTTCGTGAACAATTTTTTTTTTAAATACTTCCTCATTACAATCCGGCTCGACCGGAGTGATACCACGGCCTCACAGAAAACCGACGTGAAGCAACGCTTGCCTTGTGTTTCGTCGTGTGAGTGAGGGTACCGGAAGCCCAACCCCTCCCTATTCCCTTCCCTCAACCCTTCCCTCCAAGGCCGGCAGCGCGCTTGTAGCCCCTCTGGTGTTGCAGGTGTCCATGGGCGACGGTAATCACTTACCATCAGGTGATCCGTCTGCTCGTCTGCCCCCTATCCCATAAAAAAAAATATGGTTTTTATATTTGTATTATCTTAGGGTGTATATTCTAATCTGTAACATCTTCTCCATTGTCCTAACTCTAGTCAGATTGGTGTAACCTGACTGACGATACGTCGTCTTATACAATCTAATATAATGCAACGCGAAAGTTTAAAAGTTTATATATGTAGCTGTTATATCATCTTCGGAGATCTGCGTAAAGATTAACATTTATGCTGCGTAAAGATTAACTAATCGACCTATGTAAATCAACCTTGATATTTTTAACAACTTTCTGTTAAAGAAAAAATTACAATGTAAATGTTTTCTTATTTATTACTGTTTCTTTTTTTAGAGATCTAGATTTGTGTACTAATATGACTAAAATAGGGAGATAACAAAGGATATACATATATTATGCATAACGTGAAATAGGAGACTAATATATAAACTTAAAATTAATAAATCGAATATAACTTAAATAATTGTGTTGTAATTAAAATATAAATATCTATTTTATGTAGGCGATTTATCTCATCCGAGTCCGGCGAGTATAAATTGAATCAATTCTGGTCTTTTGACTCGAGACTATTTCGTGTTCGAGCTGCATCACTAAATAACCTTAAAATTGTTTTTGGTTGACCAAACAAACTGCACGTGTTTTTTCATATAATTAATCAAATGATGCGAAATAAATAGTCTAAAATGGTATGGGATTATTCTTATATATGATATAAATTCTTTCTTTTTAGTAACTAAATATTTTTTTATTTGCAGAGTAAGTTATACGTGCTTTATGAGCACAGTGCGGGATTTGCCTTGTTCCGGGTAGCAGAATTCGAGGAGTTGGCCGCGTTTTTACCGCAGGTGGAAGAATCTGTGACAGACCTACAACGCTTCAATTCAGTAGTGACTCTTATAGCGTTTCAGCCATTTAAATCCGCTGTTTTGGCATTGGAAAATATTAACGCCGTGTCTGAAGGTTAGAATTTTTTTGATGTAAAAGGTTACAATAAGAATTTTCACCTGCCGGAATCAACCGCAGTCAGGACTGCATCCTGTCTAAATGTAGCTTTCCGTTTACTCTAATATTTAATGTACTACTCGTACATGAAACATGACACCTGATGGCCTATTCTATTTCTTTGAAAATGAAATTTCATAAATTTTCAATATGCTTATACACAAGAAACGCATCTTTTGATAATATATATGGAACAGAGAAAGGACCTGATGCTGCCGCTGATGCACCAATAATCTTCATGAATATTATTTTAACAAAATTATGCGAACTAAATTTTTCTAATTTTCATTTGAAAAGAAATAGAATAGGGCCTCAAATGTCATGTTAATTTGTATAAGTAATACAGTTTCTGATAATAATAATAGGCAATGTTTTGAAAATCAGAGTGTAATTTAACATGAATCTTAATATGTCAATCACTATATCAACAAGCTCATATTGTCTGTTGGCAGATGTTTGTGCTTGTATAAATAGGCTATTATTAGAAACTGCAAAGTTTAATTGCCTTTGGTTTTTTTTTAATAGGCAACAGCTACCTGATGTATATTTAATATTTTGTTTTTAATTGATTAGACATTCCACTTCTAAATCATATATTCATTCTAGTCAACAAGAAAAATGCTTAAAAATTTCACCAGTCCCTGGTGCCCAGGTGGCTCTGGATCTATTTTTGAAGCATTATTATTTTTAATTTATTTTTTTAGCATTCTGAAATTTATCAATAATATATTCATGTTAATTTCTTATAATTGTGACAATATTTACCAGGCATACTCCCAGAAGACTTAAATTTATTTTTGGAGGGTGCCTTACCAAAACGGAAGAAAAGAGGCAAATGCACATTGGGTGTGTCAGATCCAAAATTAGGGGCAGCGATCAGTGAAGCACTAGAAATACAATGTTCACACACTGGTGCAGTCCCAGAAATTATAAGAGGTAAGATGTAATTGGCAAGATGTTTTATAATGATGAAAAAAAAAAATATTTATGTGCTTTTTGAATTGTGAACATAAAAATTGTGTAATAAAATATGCCTTACTATATTAGTGTTAAGAACTATAGACAAAACAATTAAATCACTAATACTATGGAACCTTATGTTAGTCAATACTTGTGCTAAAGAAGCTAATTTACTGTAATCTATTTCAAGTTCAATGTTACAAACATTTTATCTATTGCCAGGTGCTAGCTTAAGTTCTTTTTATTATTAAAAGCAATAGGTATATTTGACTGATTTATTGATTGTTATGTTATTGACTATGTAGATTCTTTTAATGACTTTAAACACAAAATGATTATTTAATTCAGGTATAAGGTACCACTTCCACTCACTCATCAAAGGGCTGACTCTGAAGGCATGCAGCGTGGCACAGCTCGGCCTAGGGCATTCCTATTCTCGTGCCAGAGTCAAATTCAATGTCCACAGAGTAGACAATATGATTATACAGTCCATAGCACTGTTAGATCAACTGGATAAGGATGTCAACACATTCTCTATGAGGATCAGGTATGTTTCAGGCACAAAAGCTTTTTAGTAACTCAACAACAATGTAAAAAAATTTCTTTTTCAATTACCATGTGCTTATTTGTATACAGTGAATATGTTAAAAAATGTTTCTAACTGCTATTTGAATGTTGCCCACAGAGAATGGTATTCTTACCACTTCCCAGAGCTTGTGAGCATAGTTCCAGAAAATTATTTGTATACTAAATGCGCAGAGTTCATAAAAGATCGCAAGACACTTTCGGAAGAATCTGTGGAGCCACTAACAGAGATACTTGGGGATTCTGAGAAGGCCCAAGCGATTATTGATGCATCTAAAATGTCTATGGGTATGGACATATCGCCTGTGGATCTCATCAATATACAGATGTTTGCTGGGCGTGTGGTAGCACTAAGTAATTATAGGTGAGTTGTATTATTATTGAAAGAAGCTTAAACTAAAATATTAATCTATCTAGTATAGTTAAATTTTAATCTGTCCTCGTGCTTGTTACAGGAAGCAAATAGCGGAGTACCTCCATACAAAAATGAATTCAGTAGCACCGAATTTGACGACTTTGGTCGGCGACCAAGTGGGCGCCCGCCTCATCTCCAAGGCTGGTTCTCTCACCAGTCTCGCCAAGTATCCCGCATCTACACTACAAATCCTAGGTAAGATAATCAGTTCAAGCGAACATAGACTTGATTGAAGAAAATAAATATGAATTGATTTCATGACACTACTTTCATCAATATTGATTCAAATATTTTTTTTATGATACAAACATTATTCATAATTAATAAATTTCAAATAAAATAAATAGTTAAATTCTATGCAGTTTTAAAGCATGCTCTACTTAGAACTGAACTTTTGTTTGAATTGTAGTTATTTCATTTTGCCATTGTCATGTTTTACAATAATTAATGTCCATTGAACCTGTGGATAGCGATGAGGGTGACACAATAATTGTACAGATTTATTAACTCTAGTAATAGTCATATTGTGTGTAATTTTTTTTTTGTTTTGGCAATAAATAATTAAGTTTTTTTATTTTCATGTAGGCGCGGAGAAAGCGTTGTTCCGCGCATTGAAGACTCGCTCGAACACGCCCAAGTATGGTTTATTGTACCACTCGACGTTCATCGGACGCGCCGGCCTCAAAAATAAGGGCCGCATCAGTCGGTACCTCGCCAACAAGTGCTCCATTGCGTCCAGGATAGATTGCTTCTCAGGTAAGGGACCGGCCATTCATTACGTGATGTCGTTACGTGTTTTTCCAGCATTTTTAACCCCCCCTTGGTGATATATGGTGAAGTTAAAGACTCCACCCAAATCACGTGTTTTTTTTAGTATTTACAAATAAATCTTACCTTTTGAGGCCGCTTTTCGATTTAGTAATTGTGAGGATAAAATAAATACACGTGATTTATTACTACACTCCCACTCCCCCTTATGATATTTAGTGATTTTTGACGACCTTCCCACCGTTTCGAGCCTCACGACCTCTAATCGCTAAGATACTTACACAACTTTAAATAACAGGCCACTTTATTCTACAAACTACATCTCCACATTTAATTGTTTAAGATTTTTAATGTATTATATAAATTTAGAACTGCCATTTAATTCCCTATTTTTATATTACTATACTTAATTTTCAGTTATAGAGTAAGAACTTTGCGAAAGTTAAGTTTACATTGCTTAATCAAAACATTTATTCGATACAGTTTGGTCACACAAATACTACGTCTACCAATGTTTTCTGTAATATATGCACACTTTGATCTATCGTAAGTGTCTGCAATCGACTTGCGGTAATAACAGTTGTGCTAAAGTGTACATTCCTGCGACGTGAGTAACATACGCGTTTCATCAATAAACGCGTCCGTGCCTAAAACGACGCTACACGTATACATTTTCATTCATATAACATGTCACATTATTGTACTGATATTTTTATGAATGAAAATATTCATGATCTTCTATCAGTCAGTTCGTAAATTCAGTCTACATTTGTAGGCAGTTAATCCATGCTAATTCTGTCTGTGTGTCTGTTACGTTTTCACGCCTAAACTACTGATACTTGGAACACTGCTAGACTAGACTTTGGATATTTTTTTTTCGCGAAGAAACCGAATGTCACTTGGTCGGAAACTTAAACATTTACTTTTTATTACAGAGAGTCTAACCACAGTGTTTGGTGAGAAATTGCGTCAGCAAGTGGAAGACCGTCTCAAATTCTATGAAACGGGCGACATTCCCAAAAAGAACATAGAAGTGATGAAAGAGGCAATGGAAGAGGTTCAAGCTGCTCAGGATGCCACCGCCAGTGCCAAGAAAAAGAAAAAGAAGAAGAAGAAGGAACAAGAGACTATGGATGAAGACTAGATGTTACTTAAATTTAGTTTTATATAAGTTTAATAAAGACCTTGTTCCGTAACGAAACAGATCATTGATAATTGGCTATACAAAGACAACACAACTGTGGGTAAAATTTTTATTGTCTATGGGCAAGGCGATTAGCTGTCTTCGTTCCAAATCCCCACCCTTAATCCTTGGGTGACGGTTTACTACTGTGATTTCAAATTGTTAACTGCGCGCACCTAATTTTGATTGAGCTTGGTGAATTGTTCGTTATCGAGAATAAGGACATTTCGGAAGAACGGTGGATCAGTGCCTATGGACTATATATCGTGTATGATATATTCGCTGGTAACCGCGTCGACGCACCCCGTTCCAGAACCCAGCCCTCGGAACCCGTGGCGGTAAAGGATCGCTTGCGGTGAGTCGCCAACCCCTGCTTAATATCGTACATAATTTCTTTTGATCCGTTCGAACCGGATTGCTATCTTTCAGTTGTGTTGTCTCTAAACAGTATTACGTACTTATTATCATGGATAGTGACGCAGCGAATTCGAAGCAGTCATCTTTGTTACGCAAAATGTCTGATGATGAATCGCCGTGTGAACAAGATTTATTCGAACGAGATCTTATTCTCGATGAGTTAAAACGAACATTACAGTTCGCAGCGACAGATGTCCAACAGTTTCGCTCGCGAACTACTGATTTAAATTCTCACCAACGTAAATTCAATAAAGTTCAAACTAAAATTGAAAAAACGTTAATCAAGTTAAGGTCTTTTAACAAAGAGGAACAGATTAAGATACGCAACGATTTCAATGATTTGTACTACGCTATTATCACTAATTTAAATAATTTAAAGAGGGTGGATGAAGAGCAACGACGTATGAGTCGTCCGTTAATAACGCCTTTAGTTCAGTCATCTAATTATAATAAGAATTTACCAACTTTGCCTTTGCCTAATTTCAGCGGCGATCCTACGGATTGGCCTTCCTATTTCGATTTGTTTCGATCATTAGTCCATTTAAACAGTGCCTACACAGAGGCGGAAAAATTCCGTTACTTATTACTTACGGTACACAACGAACCCCACAATTTAATTAAATCTATCCCTATTACAGACGAGAACTATTCGGTAGCTTTAAATATTTTGATATCTCGTTATGAGAATAAAAGAGTTATTGCCTCAAAACACCTTGACAGAATTCTCGACATCGAACAGTGTTCCGATAGATCGTCTCAAAGTATACGTAATTTATTAAATGTCTACCAAGAAAACATTAAAGCACTGGAGATTATGCACTTTCCCGTAAGCGAATGGAGTTTTTTGTTACTTAGCATTTTGTTACGAAAAATACCTATTAACACTCGTAAATCTTATGAACGTTCTTTAACTAATTCGTCCGACATTCCAAACGTTAGCACATTGATTTGTTTCTTAGAACGCGAAATATCAGCTGAGGAAATTATCTGTTCGACTAACAGCGGACAGTACAATAAATTATCTAGTGTGGCTAATGTGAATATGCGCCACCGTCACAATAATCGCGTAGAAAACCAGTTGCAGCAACGGCAACTTCGTTCGTTTGCTGCTAATGTCACACCAGTTTCAAAACCGTCGAATGATAATCGGTCTTATGAACAGAATCATAAGAATAGAAATTGCTTATGTTGTAATGCTCAACATACGTTGACAAAGTGTTCGCAATTTTTAAACTTATCCCCTCAAGATAGATTTGCTTTAGTTCGTAAGAAAAATATTTGTTATAATTGTTTGCATTTTGGGCATGATGTGAATCAATGCAATTCTAGTTTTGTCTGTCGTACATGTCATAAGCGACATCACACATTAATTCACTTTTCAAGTAAATCGTTACCGATTACTGATAATAAAATATCTGCAAATAATGCAGTCTCGCTCCCACCTTCAGTGGTAGCTGAGATGCCTGTAACCGCTACCACGAATGATCCGCAGTGCGTTGCTCCCGCCGGTGAGAACGTGATTCATAATTGTTGCGCGTCCAATGCCGCGTTCGCTCGTACGACTACGGTGCTATTGTCTACGGCACTCGTCGACGTATGCATAGGTGCGGTGAAAATAGCGACCGTTCGCTGCATTATAGACACTGGAAGTCAGGCGAGTTTTATCACTGAGGCGTGTGCGCAGCGTCTGGGTTTGATGCGCGGGCATGTTAATGTTTCTGTGTTCGGTATAGGCAATAGTGAAGCGGCGCGTAGCAAAGGATTTATAAATTGTAATATCGCGCCTAAGGGTAGATTAGAACCCTTAGTTCCGGTAAATCTTTTAATTTTAAACAAATTAATTTCACAAATGCCGAGTATGCAGTTACCGTACACTGGTTGGCCTCATATAAAAGATTTAAATTTAGCGGATCCCGCTTTTCATACGCCACAGCCAGTGGACCTGTTATTAGGAGCGGATATACTATCCCATGTGCTTTTGAGTGACGTCATTACGGGCTTACCAGGTTCACCGATAGCAGTAAATAGTATATTCGGTTATTTATTGTTAGGTAAACTAGATATTGTTTCCTCTCCGTCTCAACTTCAAGTTTGTTTTAGTTCATTTGACAATGACAACCTTCAGAGATTTTGGGAATTAGAGTCACTTCCTGAAAAACGGAGTTACACTCCTGATGAAGAAATATGCGAATCCTTTTTTCAAAAGACGCATATACGTGACGCAACGGGGCGATACGTGGTCGCTTTGCCTTTTAAGCCGGAGGCTCCCCCTCTAGGCGAATCCCGTCAAACTGCACTTGCGCGCTTTCGTAAGTTAGAGTTTCGTCTCGAGCGAAACCCGAAGCTTAAGGAAGACTATCATGCCTGTCTCCAAGAGTATCTGGATATGAAGCACATGGAGCCCGTTAAGGGCGAGCCGACATCAGGGGCCACTTATTATATTCCGCATCATTGCGTGGTCAAAGAATCCAGTGAGACCACTCGCACTCGAGTAGTTTACGACGCCGGGTGTAAAACTTCTAGTGGCTACTCATTGAATGACATTTTGTTGACAGGTCCTAAACTTCATTTAGATATAGTTAATGTTATTTTAAAATTTCGTATTCATTCAGTGGCCTTCACTGCTGACATCAAACAAATGTTTAGGAATATTTTAGTTCGAAAGGAAGATAGGGATTTTCAGCGCATTTTATGGCGGAAGTCGCCTGATGAGGTTATCCGTGATTATCGTCTTTCTACAGTCACATTTGGAGTGAATTGCTCTCCATATCTGGCTCTCCGAACTATCCAGCAATTGGCTATAGATGAGGCTTCACGATTCAAACTTGCTTCTAAGGTTTTATTAAATGATGTTTTCGTAGATGACGTCACTTCCGGTGCCTCTACTGTTCATGAAGCTTTAGTAGTTCAACAAGAGCTTATTAATATTTGTAAGACGGCGGGTTTCGAGCTTCGAAAGTGGCATAGTAATTCACCAGAGGTACTTGCTGCAGTAATTCCCCCAGATTCTCATGGTGAGCGGCTCGATGAAGTCCGATTCGCCGAAATGGAACACGATGAACAGGTCAAGGTCCTTGGACTTCAATGGAACCCTATTTCCGACTGTTTCAATTTTAATGTCAAAATATCACCTTGCTTAAGCACCAAGCGCGCTATTCTTTCCGAGATAGCTAAAATATACGATCCATTGGGCCTTTTAGCGCCAGTTACTTTATATGCCAAACATTTGATCCAACTTTTGTGGATAGCCAATATAGGTTGGGATGAAGCACCGCCGATTGATATTGTTAATTCATGGAAATCATTTAGTAGTCAGTTACCATTTATTTCGAATGTGTCGTTCCCAAGGCACATTTTTTCTGATTTAGGATCTGTTCAGATTCATGGCTTTGCCGATGCTTCAGAAAAGGCTTTTGCCGCCTGTGTATACATACGCCTTACGGGCAAAGACGGGCATGTTCGTACTTCGCTTATTATAGCCAAAACTCGAGTCGCTCCACTTCGTATGCGTCTTACTATTCCCCGTCTCGAACTTATGGCAGCCCTATTGTTGTCAAAACTACTACAGCAGGTGTTAGTTACCTACTCAGATTACGTCAAGGGTGATCAAGTTTACGCTTGGTCTGATGCATCCATAGTGTTAGCGTGGTTACGTTCGCCACCACATGAATGGAAAACATTTGTTTCTAATCGCACTAGCGAGATTCTTTCACGCGTTCCCGTTAACTGCTGGCGACATGTACCGTCGACCGATAACCCTGCTGATGCTGCGTCTCGTGGTATGCTACCTGGCGTATTTATAGAACATGATTTGTGGTTCCAAGGTCCAAGTTGGCTCCGACAGGACGAAGCTTGCTGGCCGGAATCAAAGTCTTACTATACAACGGAAGAGGAAAAGCGTCTCAATATTAATTTGATTAACACTAATTTAACTACACTGGATCCCTTACCGGATGTAGAGATAATTTCTCGATTTTCTACGTTAGGAAAACTTGTTCGCGTTACTGCAATAATATTTAGATTTTATTTCAAATGTAAAAAACACATTAAATCTTGCCCTAATTATATAACTGTGCCGGAATATAATTTTTCCTTAAAAAAACTTATTTATTTAGTGCAACATAGTGTGTTCAGTAATGACATTGAAAACATTTCAAAGGGTAAATTGCCTTCAAATCAATTACGTCGTTTAACGCCATTTCTGGATGAAAATCAATTTTTACGTGTGGGAGGCAGAATTCATAAGTCTCTTTTACCATTTGAATCAAAGCATCAATTAATTTTACCGAAAAAACATACTTTAACCAATCTCATTATTGACGATGCGCATATAAAGTATTTACATGCCGGCCCACAAACAGTCCAATACTTATTATTACAACGTTTTTGGATACTTTCTTGTCGCGATATCGTGCGCCAGCGCATACATCGCTGTGTTATTTGTTTTCGCTCTCGTCCTAAGTCTAATCAGCCACGTATGGCACCGTTACCTGCTACTCGTTTACGTCCCTCGCGACCCTTTATTAAGACCGCCGTAGATTACGCGGGTCCTTTTTACGTACGTGCAAATAAGGTGCGCAATGCTAAAGTTGTGAAATGTTACGTTGCAGTTTTTGTATGTATGAGCGTTAAGGCCATACATTTAGAGCTTGTGTCCGAGCTTTCCACGGAAGCTTTTCTCGCGGCTTTGCGGCGTTTCACATCCCGTCGAGGTTTATGTACTGATATTTTTTCGGACTGTGGGAAGAACTTTGTCGGATGTAATAATTATTTAAGGGATTTGTTCGCGTTCTTAAACAGCGACTCTGTACAGGCTAATTTAAATCGAGAGACACTTAAACAAGGCCTAACGTGGCACTTTCAGCCACCATACGCAAGTCATTTCGGTGGGCTATTCGAGGCGGGTGTCAAAAGTTTTAAGCATCATCTACATCGTGTTATTGGCACTCGTACTCAAACATATGACGAGATGCATACCCTCCTATGTCAAATAGAGGCTATACTGAACTCGCGTCCACTCTGTGCAATCAGTGCTTCGCCTGATCCGCTTCCTTTAACTCCATCACACTTTCTGATAGGAGAACCTTTGATTGCTTTGCCTGATGTTTCTTTGGTGGACGAGAATACTAATCGACTTACGCGTTGGCGCTGGGTACAGCAGTCCGTTCAGCATTTTTGGAAGAGATGGAGTAGAGAGTATCTTCATGAGATTCAGCAAAGTCAAAAATGGTTTGAGACTCGCGGGTCTTCTATTCGTGAGGGTACTATTGTGGTAGTTTGCGATGATCACCTGCCACCATTACAATGGAAACTAGCACGTGTCCATGCTCTACATCCAGGTTCGGATAATGTTACTCGTGTGGTGACTTTACAAAGGGGCAATACATTTTACAAGCGACCTGTTGTAAAGGTGTGTCCACTCCCTATCGAATAAACAATTAATCGTTGCATATCGAATCTTAGTTCTAAGTTTTTTATTTATATTTTATTTTGTTCTAAATTTAATATTCAATTTGTTCATTTAATGTTAAAGGCACGTTCCTTTAAGGTGAGCGGCATGTTCCGTAACGAAACAGATCATTGATAATTGGCTATACAAAGACAACACAACTGTGGGTAAAATTTTTATTGTCTATGGGCAAGGCGATTAGCTGTCTTCGTTCCAAATCCCCACCCTTAATCCTTGGGTGACGGTTTACTACTGTGATTTCAAATTGTTAACTGCGCGCACCTAATTTTGATTGAGCTTGGTGAATTGTTCGTTATCGAGAATAAGGACATTTCGGAAGAACGGTGGATCAGTGCCTATGGACTATATATCGTGTATGATATATTCGCTGGTAACCGCGTCGACGCACCCCGTTCCAGAACCCAGCCCTCGGAACCCGTGGCGGTAAAGGATCGCTTGCGGTGAGTCGCCAACCCCTGCTTAATATCGTACAGACCTCTATACAAAGTTTACTGTTTTATTAAGATTATTGAATAGATTACTAATAAAGTGGATTTTTAAGCATTTTTCAATATAGTATTGTAAATGCAAAATTGATGAAATAAAATAATTAGAACAAATTTTCATCTTTATTGAAAGTTTAAATATTTGTAAAAAATATTTCTTTTAGCTGTTTGGGTGGGGTGCCTGAACATTGATGAAAATACACTTTGTAGTAGTTTTAAAAAGTGACAAGTGCTTGCAAAATTCGTCAGTTCTGTTGGGTACTGGGTAGTTTAGTCTCGTTTAGTCAAAAAATAGCTTCTCAGATCTGGGAGGGGAATGTATGGTCGCAATACAAAGTTTTTGCCCCGGTCGGAAAAAATCGTAGATCTGGGTCAGTTTAGCAGTTATATTTATCGTTTTTATTTAAATACGATAATAGGGAATATGCATACTTTTGGAAAATAGTTTTATATAATAATTTACATCGATATATTACTGTAAAAAAATATCTGACACCGAAAAAATAAAATTTTGTAAAATTAATAATTGATGAAAATAAGTATAACTACGAGCAGTTTAAACACCGGAATTTTTGGCGCTCTTGCCGTGACGTCAAAGTACACGTCTAGAGATATGACATTTTAAATCAATATGGAGTTTGAGTGATTGAATATTATTCAATTACCCAAATCGATTAACAACTAATCGATTTATTTAAAGTATGATAGACGTTTTTTAATAAATCATATAGTTTACCAAATTGATTAAATAAAAATAAAAGCATACAACATCATTTAAATTGTAATCTGTTGTTTATTTTGCTCATAATACATTGATGTTATTGCATCGATGTCAAATTTTTGTAACAACGACATCTCTATACGTGTACATTTTCGTCATATCCGTTCTGAAAAGTAGCATGGCGTTTGAATATCTTGAAGTTGCCGCATTTTTTTGGACTTTTTAATAATTATTTATAAAACGAAAACGAATTCATGTTAAAAAATATTAACATAGACTTTATTCTAAAGCAATAATAATCTTAATAAAGTATATTTAACCCTTTTTTTAATCAGGTGCATATTCCTTATTAATACAGTTAACAGATGTGATGTGTCAGTTCTTTTCGTCGTGACTTCAAATGGCCGAAACCGGTTCATCTACCCTAACAGAGCCCTTACGCGCCTTTTGCGATTTAATATGCAGTGGGATCTTTAAGTTAAAAAACAAATAAAGTAGTATAACAACATGTTTATTACAATATAAAAAGTAACATTTGCTTTACACTTGACAAAGCAAAACACGATTCAACTTTTTCGATTCGGATATAAATCCACAATATCCTTATTGATTAAAATTAAACTTTACAATTATTCAAATAAAGTCTATATTAACACGCTTTTATAGCTTTTTTTGATTTTTCGTTAGCTTCTATCGACAGACTCTGATTGCAGTTAATCTTGATGTTGATATTGACCGCTGCCAACTGAGTGACGAACACTTTGAATATATGCGGTATGGCGACAGACACCAAGTCTCCCTCGCCGCAGAGGCGGCATGTCTCCGATTTGCCTTTAATTCCGGCAATGATGGGGCTCAAAAGGTTTCCACACTTCGAACACAGCATAGCCTGATAACAGAAAATATGTAGTTTTTATACTAAACACATAAACAAGGGCGAATGACAACAATTCCAACTTTAAAAAGACGTTACTAATATAGTATGAATATCCATTATTCTTAATATGAAATAAAATATAAATAAATATTAAACAACATCACATACATTGCTCAGATTCCAAGATGAGTAGCTAAAGCCCCCGTATTATGGAGTATCTGAGACAACGAAGGTACCACAACACCCAGACCCGAGTCAATATAGAAAAGTTCATTTTCTACATTGACCCGACCGGGAATCGAACCCGGGACCTCAGAGATGGCGACACCTTGAAACCGGCGTGCGACCCACTCGGCTAAGGAGGTCGTCATATAGAAAGCTATTTCATTAGCATATATATTCATTCAAGGCAATAGAACACATTACTGTAACTTTCTTGTTGTTATTCTTTTATTAATGGCTTATATGCGCGTTTCGCACAATTCGGTCGCTAAATTGCAGCATTAACACATTTTTTTATAAACGTCAAACGTCATTCACAGAGTAGACAGCAAAGAGTAACGTGAATCTATAATTAAAAGAAATTCATCTAACAGTACATAATTGCTGCATATTTGGATGTAAAAAAAAAAATTCAAAAAGTTCGTTCACTACATGCGCTGGTGGTGCCACCTAGGGCGGGCTTAGCGTAATATTCCCTATTCGGGTGGGTCAATGACCTCGCTCTTGTCGGAGCAGTGGAACAGTCTGTCCTGCACTATGAAGGTGGCGCCGTGCGACAGCAGGGCGTCTCGCTCCATCTCGCCGAGTCTCACCCCCCCGCCGCGCCGCCGCCCCTTCACCGGCTGTCGAGTGAGCGCGTCCACCATGCCCGTGGTCCGCACCTGGATCGAATATATTATACAAGTCCAGTAAACTGCTAATGCGCTGGAATAGTTATTTAAGATACGAGTGCGGAAAGTAAGGTTTTACGAATAAGGGCCGAATTGAAAACACGAGCGTAGCGAGGGTTTTCATTGGCACGAACTCGAAAAACCTTTTACGCTCAAGTTTCTTACAACATTTTTCAATGCTTTTTGTGAGGAAATAAAACAAATATATAGGTTAATAAAACTAAGTATGTATTAAAGGTAAAAATTATTTGTTAAAATTAAACGTGATATTTGCACATGTTTTCGTTTCATACATTTATATTTGAAAATATTTGTTCAAGGCTCCTTGAAATACTTTTGCCTCTAAAGTTTGACATATTTTTATCATTTTTTTTTAATTGCTTTGGTGCTTGGCCAAAAAAAAAATTAAAAAATTATTAAAGTAAAAGATTTCAGTACATTTTTATTTAACACGTGTTTAAAGACTCACTTTCGGTGTTTACAATGGATTAAAAAATAGCGCTTTATGAGCAACTGCATTGAAAACTTGTTTAAATAACACCCGTGTGACGTCATATAAAATATAAAGTATAGATAGCACAAAATGCGAGAGGTGTGTTACATTAATTTTTGGAAACAATAATGATTGTAGTAATTTTAGTGTTATGTATAATAATTTTATTTAATTATTTTTGACAATAATTTGACTGTTTACCAGTAATGAAAAATAAATTTAATTTAATATTTGCACGCTATGTCTTGGGACAAAATTTGTGTCACTAGTCTTAAAAACGCATACTTCTAAATACTCGTGGAATAGGTATACGGAATAAGTATTTCAGCGTACTCGTACTTGTAAGACTCAGTACGCGTTTAACCCAGTACGTCTCATCTCTAGTACTGATTGTTGAATACAATTACGTCACCAAAATGGCCGCCAGGCGCATTAGAAATTTGCGGGGATTATAATCAAATATTACTGTCAAAACAAACACTGGATAATAAGTCGTTACAATAATGTAACACCGGAATGTGGTTTATGGTCCCACTCGGTTACTACTACCGATATAAATCGACCGATGAGTTTTATAAGTTGTACATATGTAAAGACGCGGCGAAACTTAGTAAGCGCGATACAGGTATTTTGGCTCCATCTCATGACTGCGAGGTAACGTGAAGCTTCGGACTTGCCATTGGTTATTGTGGCGATGTTAGTACGTTTAGATAGATGTCGCCACAATAAACTTCTGTCCCACGCTTCGAAATGAAGTGAAATTCGTTCCGACTACATCTAAAGGACGTTAACCCCCATCAATGTGCACTGGACCCGCGTGGTCGGTTACGACTTGTTCTATCTATTCGATTCCATCAGTACGGAAAGCCTGTACCACAGCAGAGGGGACATTTACTAATTAAGATGGTGCTGGATTAATTATTAATCAACACTAGAAATACTAGAAATGAGTGAAAGAAAATTTCACTTGTATTATTTAACGAACTCATTTTATATTATAGTAAATTTAGTTTTTAACGGAGTCATTATGGGCTAACATATATAACTAGTACTGATAAAACATATAGAGTCGAATAATGACAAATGCTTAAGAAAAGTCACTTTGTCCCAGATTGTGAAAGGTCATGGATTCAAGTCACAGTGTCATGGACAAAATGGCAATTTTTTAAAGCAATTTTTGTTAAAAATATTATTCAGTCTAGCATTGCGAACGCAATCGATTCTAATAATGAATAATTAAAAAAAGTACAAGCCACTTTCTCGAGCTCACCTGCCACTTGTCAGAGACCATATGCCTCAGTCTCTGGTAATGTATGACACCGAAGAATATATCGGCGGTCATCTCGCGGCCGTCCACGCCGCTGTACATCCGCTCTGTGCCGTAGTAATTGTAACCGCCCGCTACCAATAAACGGCCGAAGTAATTTATCGCGGTGTCTTTCTCGTTGAAACGGAACGGTGTCGCGTCGTGTACCTGACGAATGATATTGGGTATGTTCCGATATACACTGCGACCACTGAACAGTATGACGTCAATTTAGTATACTGGAAGCCCGTTCCTTTATAGCTAGTTATACTGGTGACTTTTTAAAACGGAACGCAGTCCAGTATACTGTTAATCCTATTTTTTGGCACCATTTTCAAATTTGTTAATGCAAGGTGAATATAAATATAAAGATTCCCTCTTTTCAAAAGAAAATATTATAAAATTGGAAAATTGTATAAAAAAATTATTTATCCATCTTATAATAAACGTAAGTTTTTTTTTGTTTATTTAGAAACTTATAATTTTCTGATTCTGTTTCGACTGATCACGTGATCAAAAGCACCGCGAGCACCTTACCTCGAAATCTCCAGTGCTCACAGTACAAATATGGCGGCAATTTATGACGTCATGAATTTCCCTAGGGTACTGTAGCAGTGTACTGGCAGTCCATAACGGAACGGATTTTTCAGCAGTAAGACCACTGCGCAGTGCTCGCAGTGTATATCGGAACATACCCATTGTATTGTCAATTAGCTGTCACTGTCACTTTGACATTGACGTAAGACGAGATTCGAACCAATATGGCGCCGGTTGAGGATTGGTGTGGATTGGTTATGTTGCTATTGGAATCTGTACATTACAAATGATGTAATTAACACGACTTTCTTGTATATAACAAGAAAGTGGGTTAGTTACATCATTTATAACTCGAATACCGTTGGACTTTTTATTGCGATAATCGTGTTTTTGGATTTGCCTTCGTCGGGAATAGGATAAAATATTATATTTTATCGACTCAGAAAATTTGAGATAACAGTGCTTTTTCATAATAAAATGCGACTGACAGTTCACGTAAGGGGCCGTCCATTAATCACGTGATGCTTTTTCAGTATTTATAACCCCCCCCCCCCACAGCCTTGGTGTTACATTGTGAGGTTTAAGACTACACCCTCCACCCAAATAACATGTATTTGTTAGTACCTACAAAAAATCTAAATTTTTGACGCCGCTTTTAAGTTTAGTAATCGCGCGTTTGAGGAAAAAATACACCTCCCCCTTGTGATGTTTCGGAATTTTTGTCGAATCCCTCCCCCGCCTTTCGAGTATCACGTGATTAATGGACAGCCTCTAATGTTATTTGTGTCTATGGATTATTTTAAATTATCGGTAAATTAGAACCAAGGAGTTTATATATTTTTACATTCAAATTTCTTGGTCTATAACAGTTAGTATAAAATAAGTCAATCGAACAAGAAGAATCGTCATCAGTATATATAAATGTGAGTACAACTCACGTGTCCGTGTATGCTGGCCGCCTTGCCCGCCATACACTCTATCATCATCGCGATGGTCATACGCGAGGGGAACCCGTGCGGGTTGAACAATATGTCCGGTATCAGACCAGTCTCCGTGAACGGTAAATCTTCAGCGGCCCACTTCTGGGAACAGATGCCTTTCTGTCCGGCACGGGAAGCGAACTTGTCGCCCACTGATGGATTTCGCTGTTGAGAGAATGTTTCTATTATAAAAATAATAAATAAAATAATAAATAAAATAGTTTATTTCCTTAAATTGCATACATATAACAGTAATGTGGCCAGAATCACCCAGGAAGTGCCTAAAAAGCGCTTGTGTCGGGTGGTTCTGCTCCTCCTTAGGAACTTAATAACAAAATAAGGTTTGCTTAGGTTGCTTTGCTTAGGTTGTTCTATTAAATACAAACCTATGTCCTTAAATTGTATTAAATCGTGAAACAAAAATTTTAGACCGTCATACATTATTTTAACAATGTATTATTATAAAATAACATTGCACACATTATCATGCATTAGACATTTTTTTTGCCGAACGTCAAACTATCATTAAGACACAGAAATGTTATGTTAAAACCTTAACACTTAAAGATTCTATTTTAAGGTCGAATTTCAACCACTATTTGAAACTATAGGAAATTTGTCCAATACATATATTATTAAAAATTCAAAATTTCAATTTTTAGAACATTTGTACTACTATCAAATTCCAGTTCATCTAAATACACCAAATGGAACTACCGACCCTTCTCAATGATTATCAGCCTTAAAACTATTGAAGTAGAAACCAGATAGTAGAGTGAATTGAAAAATAATATCGACATCTGTGTGAAGGAAACTTTGGTGCTATTTACAAAGTTCATGTTATTTGTTGTATTAGCTGTAAATTTTCCATCAAATATATATTTACCTGTACTCTAAGCATGATACAAGCTTTAGCGGGCGACTTTGATGAGAAATCTCCGCACTGGCGTACGCTGTCGACGTATGCGTCTTCTGATCCATGATAACGTGATACAAAGTACTGGTTCTTTTGACCATCAAAGTAGCTGCCAATGAAAATTATAATTATTTACACAGAGCATAATACGTAACCTGTCTCTTTAGATTATAATGAATAAAGTATAATTGTGAATTACAGCAAAAAAACACCCTGGCGGATAATGTTCCTAATTAAAATTTCATCATCAGCCCTTTTATGTCCCCACTGTAGGCCTTATCGGTGGTTAAGGAGGATATGTCATGAGTCTTAAACTGGCAGAGAATGCTTAAGGTATTAAATCCATCTTCATACGATAGTGCATAAGGTATTAAATAAATAATAATTTGTAGGTTTCTCAAAGATATATTTATTTAAATTAAATTGGATATTTATTTAAATTTACATATTAAAACACAAATATTTTTTTAATAGCCATAATTACTAAAATCTAACCTTTACTTTAAATTTATATTCCACATCACCAAAGATCGACTGGCAGAGAATGCCTAAAGACCGTCTTTGTTCGATAGCGCATAAAGTATTAAACTATTAAATTAAAAATAATTTCTCGGTTGTCCATCCCGCGACCGATCCTCGCGAAAATCGCTCGACGACAACGTTCGCGGGCCGCGGCGCCGCCGAGTTAGTAAGTCAAATCAAATCATTTATTGGCCATATAACTGAGAAAGTTACACTCGGCAAGTCTTTTACAATAAGCATTTCAAATTAAATATAAAGGTCTTAATCATGCAGGTCAAATCATTGTAGGAATGTCAAATAAATCGAGTACGAGTATTTTAAGAATGTCAAGTTGGTTATCAATTAAATTGCAACATTACAAATTAAATAATAATATATATATATATTTATATCACAGAATATCTCCATCATCGTTACAAAGATCATTTGATTTAGTTTCTTCTTTTTTTAAATTATTAGTTATTCGATTACTTAATTACTTGAATGTACAGATGGTGTAATCATCGATACTTTTAATTTAATTAGATTGGTAACACTGACTTTGAAGCAAGTTGCCGCCATTTTGGCAAGCATTCTGTTTCCGATCGCCGAGGAGTAAAGACATCCGACGACATCACGCCCATCTCGTTATATGTTCGTATGAAAAGTGATAAAATGGAATAAATCCACATTGGTATATACGCTTGCAGTGATATTTTAAAGATATTACCCTGATATGGACAATCTATTTGGGCATCGTAATAGCCCCTTCTGCCTTCCCGCCGTCCTTATATATACAAAGTGTCCCAAAATTCAACGATAAGCGGGCGCCAAGAGGTAGACCTACTCATGTGTACTTATGGAAAAATAAGAAAAAAATTATATCTTATTAATCTTTTTTATTATAAAATAAAATTCGAAAATTTTCGAAAATTTACACCTTTTATGATATTTTCAACTACCACGACCACAACTTCTCAATTATGTTCAATCTTTTTTTGGTATCGGATACCTAAATAGCACTACTATTCGCTACAACTGTTAAAAACACCAAAATGCCCACAGTATTTACACAAAAAACAATCAAAATGTATTTTTTTCCTTAAATTTTCACAGATTTTTACGTTCCGTAATCTTTGACTCACAGTCATGTAGAAAAAAAGTATGGACACTACTGCGGCAAGTTGTTTTTAAAATTGACGCAGCTCATGAAGATTCCATAATGGTATAATACTTCATGATAACTAGCAACAAACTAAAAATCATACCATTTAGAATCAAGAACCAAAGTTGTGAGTAATAAATTGTACTGTTCCGAAATGTTTTAATATTTAAAAAAAATATTGAAATAAAACAATAGTGAGTTTTAGTCTCATTCATTCATTCATTTTTTTACTGTGACTAGTTATCTTAGATTATTATACCATTTTGGAATCTTGATGAGTTCAGTCAATTTTAAAAACAACTTGCCACAGTGGTGTCCATACTTTTTTTTACAAGACCGTAAGTCAAAGATTACGGAACGTAAAAATCTGTGAAAATTTAAGGAAAAAATACATTTTCATTGTTTTTTGTGTAAAAACTGTGGGCATTTTGGTGTTTTTAAGAGTTGTAGCGAATAGTAGTGCTACTTAGGTATCCGATACCGAAAAAAGATTGAACATAATTGAGAAGTTGTGGTCGTGGTAGTTGAAAATATCATAAAAGGTGTAAATTTTCGAATTTTATTTTATAATAAAAAAGATTAATAAGATATAATTTTTTTCTTATTTTTCCATGAGTACACATGAGTAGGTCTACTTCTTGGCGCCTGCTTATCGTTGAATTTTGGGACACGTTGTATATATATACCTACTAGCTTTCGCCAGCGGCTTCGCCCGCGTGGACCCTAGGCAAATGTTTAGTGGGATAAAAAGTATCCTATTATCTAAGTCAGCTAATACTCTATCTGTATACCAAATTCAATCATTATCCGTTCAGTAGTTTCGGCGTGATTGACCAACAAACATCCAAACAAAGAAACTTTCACATTTATAATATTAATAGGATTATCACAAATTAGATTATACAAACGTATAGAGTAATATGTAATTTTACGTCATAAGTTAGTTAGTTAGTGATGTGCCACTGACCAGTAGAACGGGTCGTCGTGGCCGAGCCGTGCCCCCACGGGCGGCAGGCCGTCCGCGTCCAGCCGCGCGGCCAGGTCGGGCCGCTGCGGGTCGCGCGCGAAGTACGAGCCGCCGTGCTCGAGCTGCGCCCACTCCGCCTTGTACACGGCGCCCGCGCACATGCCGCGCTCGTACGCACTCTTGTTTATTATCATCGCGTCCTCCATGTCGTAACCCTGGAGGAATACACCGATAAATTTCCACTCCATTTGCATTTCCATTAAAAAAGCTTACTATAAGCTATCAGATTATATAACGGATAAGAACGCTTGGACTTGAGATGATCCAGCAACTGGATAGGTGATTACTTCTTAACTCATTCATTATATATCAAAAATTATCTTGCTTCCATTATTATTAAATGATTATGTTATCATTATAAAACCATAGTTGCTTTTTTTCTCTCTTTATTTATAATGTATTGATCTGGTAATGGCATGGTTTTTGTAAATGTCATTACTCCTATTAGAGCTGGTGAGTTTCTTGCTCGTTCTTCTTATCAGCCAAAAGACGTCCTGAACGAGTGGTAGGGAAAAAAATGTTGGGCGATTCAAAAGTACTTTTAAGAAGTCTATTTGAATGAAGATTATTTTGACTTTGACTCAAAATAGGATAGTTGATTACATTTTTCTTGTAATCTATAAATAAGCTAGCTTTCCGCTAGCGGCTTCGCCAGGGTTGTCCTCAGGGAAATGTTTAATGGGATAAAAAGGAGCCCACAAAATGCACTCGGTAGTTCTAGGGGTTAGGTTTGGTTAAGTGGTAACTGAAACAGCCGTTAGGATCGATTGGATCGTTTGAAGTTACATATTTCTAGCCAACGAGATCTTGATAGTTTTGAAAAATAAATGATCCCACCTTGCCTCGACTGAAACGTGTTTGTGGCGTGTAAAAAGAGCTTAAGACGACTGATCTATAATACGTTTGTACTGTATCAAATATGAACTTTACCGTGTACGATATGACGGCGACAATAGCGTTAGTTCCGCAGGGGAAATCATCCAGCCCTATATTGTCATAGTGCGTGGGCCTGAACAGGGGCGTGGCCGGGGTCTGTAGCCGGTATAGCTTGGTCTCCGCGTTGGTGCCCCACGTGTGTATGGGAGTGCCCATAGTCTGTTTACCCATTTGACACTGATACATGTTCCTAGGGACAATACGATCGATCATATACAGGGTTATTTGCAAAACACTATCTACCATAACGACATAAATAACAACGTTCGTTCTATGACTTTTGGTATTTTGTTACATTTAGCTTTTGCACAAACATAAAATTTAATTCACCACTCAAATATTAATAACTCTACGCTCATCACCGAACAACGCCAGCGCATGAGCTTCACGTCATCATCTCATTTATGAATAAAACATACCCATACTAGTCATTTACTAAATAGTTTTTGTTCAAAGGGTTTAGCCGGATACGTATGACGAGTCGGCCCCCAAATGGGAATCGATATTGAAACTTATGTTTTAATATCGACTTGATGTTCAAACACGATTTATGTACTTTTCGCGACCGACTTCCGCTTTGACCTTGAGATAGAGAGCAAAATATCCGTATGCTTGACTATTACTGAATGTGATATATCTCTAAAGCTAATTAAGATAAAGAAGTGAAACTAACGCGAGGTGTTAGGTTACATTACAGAGTATATCACATATATTTTTTTATAATTTTTAGAATAAAAAATTACATTAAAAAAATAAAAAATAAAAAAAACATGTTTTTTTTTCTGAGTTCTCTGTGACTTACAATCACGAAATTAATATATGTTATGCTCCTTTGTGTGCTCTATTACCCATAAAAATTGCGTGAAAAAAAAGTTGGTGCAACACAACGAAAAAAAATTATATGTGATTTCTATCTTATGGTATACCCCTGTATTATAAGGTTTTCACATTACATCATTGTTTTTTTTTTCGAAATTTCACATCAGCTTGTTTTAAAACATAAGTAACTAGTCTTAGGAGATGGGATAATAGTTAAAAAAGAAATGAAAAAAAAACAGCCAGTGTTCAATACTTATTATTATTACTTTTTCGTGTCTATCAAAATACAAGAAACAAAATATTAATCATCGTCACTGTTGTAATTAATTACAATCGGAACACTGAGTCGCAAATAACTTAGTTAGGACCTCAGCAGGACGTACGATTTTGGACAAATATCATCCATATGATAGATAATAAATAATAGCTGCTACATGAGAACAGCATCCCACTGTACGTTTGCCATTGGGGCAATCACAGCAATAACGAAGAATACTATTGTAGTCATTACCTTCGGAAATATAGTGAATGTAAATTCGATAGACTTTTCTATTTATATGTCTTGATTTTACTTCTGCTTTGATGATATTAGGTGCTGATTTCACATATTGTACTGAGAGATTATTTTGATCGTCCATTATTTCGGCCAAGTTAAATGCTGCACATTTAGAAGTAGAAGCTTTTTTGTTAATATATGGGATAAGTCGACACTTCTTACAAAAAATATCATTAACTATTACGATTTTATTCAAACAGTCACTAAACACTTTAGCTTCTTCTTCATTCTTTATAATTTTTTTATAACCAGGAATCTTACACAGGTACTTGTTACAATTTTTACACTTTCTCGACTTGGTTCGATTCGATTCGATTTGGTTCGATAGTTAATAATTTCAAAATGCTGATACAAAATACCTATGACAGAATTTGAGTCCCAAACTGCCTTCTTGTGTAATACAAATGACTGCTACTTTAGCTAAACAAACGATGCAGTAAACAACTCGATAACAAGTTCGAACTTGTTTGTTTATACACTCACACTACAAGGCGCGACTCACATATAATTTTTTTTCGTTGTGTTGCACTAACTTTTTTTTCACGCAATTTTTATGGGTGATAGAGCACACAAAGGAGCATAACATATATTAATTTCGTGATTGTAAGTCACAGAGAACTCAGAAAAAAAAACATGTTTTTTTTTATTTTTATTTTTTTAATGTAATTTTTTATTCTAAAAATTATAAAAAAATATATGTGATATACTCTGTAATGTAACCTAACACCTCGCGTTAGTTTCACTTCTTTATCTTAATTAGCTTCAGAGATATATCACATTCAGTAATAGTCAAGCATACGGATATTTTGCTCTCTATCTCAAGGTCAAAGCGGAAGTCGGTCGCGAAAAGTACATAAATCGTGTTTGAACATCAAGTCTATATTAAAACATAAGTTTCAATATCGATTCCCATTTGGGGGCCGACTCGTCATACGTATCCGGCTAAACCCTTTATGGCTACTCTCGTAGTATGTTATCTAGTCCTGCGAGGCTTTTAGGTTTTACAAATAACCCTGTATACCATTTTTATAAATTGCTTCGAAAACTTGTATGTACAGGAGAGCAATCTAAACCAATGGCATACAAGTACTGCCACCGTTGAAATATAGATAGATATTTATATGTAAATTTAAATAATACTATTTCCTTGGGCGACTTTCTCACTTGCAGGTCTAAGGTACCAGAATGGAATCCCATTTGAGCGAATGACAGAAAAGGAAATGAATTTTCTATATTGTTTTGAGATTAAATATTGTGGTACTTTCATTTGTTCAGATTTCTATAATACAAGTACTAAACGCTACTTTACATGGTATATGGGCAGTGTATGTGATGATGTTCAAACTAGAATAGCAATATTTTTATTGTTAAAAGACTTACCTAGGTGATTGGTTACAGTCAGGCATCGGCACTAGCTGAGCTAAGTTGCTCATAAACGCCGATTTCGATAGCTCCAAGTGTGTTGTTCTACCTATAAAACACGATAAAATTAAAACAACTATAATGTACAATGGAGCTGATAAATGCTATATTTAAAATATTTTTAATTAAAAATGCTAAAAAAAATCCGCTTTGCCCTGAGTTACTCTGAGATGGGCTTACAATATTGTGACTCTCTATTTTTCCACTGTAGAGTACCTTTGATGATCTCCGCTTGTGTAACGGCGATGTCGAGGTACAGTTGCTCCATGGTGCCGATCAGCTCCAATTGGCCGGTGGCGAGGTTGATGACGGGCCTCATCATCCTCGCCTCACTCGTGAACAAGAACAGGCCTGGGTACTGACCGCATATCTGACAATATGTTACATTAACGTTTTTGTTAAAATTATATACCGACAAACCATTTTTCAGTTAGACTAATAAGAAATCAAGAAGCTGCAAAACAATTTGTAATACATCCATCATACAGCAGTACAAGACATATTAATATATATGACCTTGAACCTAATTATCGATAAATTAAGTCAAATAACCGTAGTCTTCCGTAAGTCAATCAGTATTCCGTACTATTGAAAGGTCTATAAAGTTAAAATTTGATAGAAATATACAATTGTGGGCCAGCTTGGTCGTAAAAGGAGTATTAAAACATGCAGTCCTTCGAGCCGGATATTTATAATAATATATAACATTTGAAACTAAACAGAACTTCTTTTTTTTTAAATTAAAGACAACATAGAAAAGCTATATTTTTAGATAGCTATTTTTTTTTAAATGAACAATCATAGGTTTAGTTTCTTTAATAATGCTACTTTCCGAGATCAGTCTCTAAGAGTACATATTCGAGACTTGAGGTTCTGTATCTCAGTTCAATACCTATAGCATATGATAAGTTGTGATGTACCAAAACAATGTATATTGTTTCGTTGTGATCTAATCAATATTATAATTAGTTTCAGGATACGTACCTTCTGTTTGGGTATGAGTACTATCTCAGTGTGGACGGGTAGTCCGCCACGTATTTTGAGCAGCCGCAGATGATGAACGGCGCGTTCGACGGCTTCCTCCGGCATGAAGCCCGCCAGCCGACCGTCCACGAAAACCGGGTACATGTACACGTCGTCGCGCAGCGGCGTGTGCGCCACCGTACTGATGGGCTGCACACCTGGAGTGCAACGACGGTACTTACCTTACAAAATACTCGAAAAAACAACTATCTGTGATACGTTTCCTCGATATCTAACTCGCTAATAAGTGTTTTCCAACTGTGTACGGTGTCACACCATACATAGTTATTAGTTTAATTTATAAATATCTTACATTTTTATGATCAGTATGCAGTTAAACATTGAAACAAAGTTAATTGAAGATAAAAACTAAGTTAAGTAATACAAGTAGTGATTAGGCTAATAAATAATCACTATTTGTATTACTTAACTTTGTTTTTATCTCAATATAATTTATTTAACTGTGGTTAATATTTTTTTTACATACTCTTAAACGAACTTTAATATCTGAAAGTCTCTTTAGGTCTCTGTTATTCAAGTATTCTTAAAAAAACAAAAGTCATCATAATCAGCCCTCTTACATCCCCACTGCAGAGCTCAGGCCTTCATTGATGGTTAAGGAGGATGAACCATGACTCTCCACGCTAGCCCAGTGCGGATTGGCAAGTATTAACGACTCCAGATGCAACCGGGATCGACGACTTAACGTGCCTTCCGAAGCGCGGTAAGAACTCGAGGCAATACATTTTTGGTCACCAATCTTATGAACGGCAATTACAAGAGTAACTTAATACCCATACCGCAGACTAAGCGCGCTAACCACTGCGCCATCGAGCTTCTCAATTTATATTATTTTATAGAATTTATTAATAAAATATAAATATTTCTTTACAGATGACTTTTTATTTACAAATTTATTTATGTTTAAGCGATTTTCATCAGTTACCTTTCGCTAGGGATCATCGATATTCGTTGACGGTAGACAAATATCAGAATAATATCGACCTTTGCAAAGCTGAAAAGTATTTATATCGACATTGTAACGGAGTAAAAGGTCAACTTATGACAGAGTTACCACCTTCTTTTGAAAATACATAATAATATTAATATTACATATGGTAACACTTACCGCAATCTGCGAGTACATTCGGCAGATTTGCCAGTTGCTCTGGTTCTGGGCATTGTGTGACCTGTAGACAGCAAAGATCGATATAATTTCCATACAATATTTTTTTACTAACAAAGTGTTAGGAAATGTAACTTAAGATTAAACCTATGACAAAGGCCTCTTGTATCAATATTTCTAGCCGACTATTTTTGATATTGAAATAAACGAAGCAAATAATTTAGTTGAGGAGGCCGCATGGTGCCCCGTCGGGCGTTTTCGATAGTGATGTGCCGGTACCTGTGCGGTCACGGCGAGGTGGTTGAGGAGGCCCCATGGGGCCCCCTCGGGCGTGTATGATAGTGATGTGCCGGTACCTGTGCGGTCATGGTGAGGTGGTTGAGGAGGCCGCATGGGGCTCCGTCGGGCGTGTATGATAGTGATGTGCCGGTACCTGCGCGGTCATGGTGAGGTGGTTGAGGAGGCCGCATGTGGCCCCGTCGGGCGTGTATGATAGTGATGTGCCGGTACCTGTGCGGTCATGGTGAGGTGGTTGAGGAGGCCGCATGGGGCCCCGTCGGGCGTGTATGATAGTGATGTGCCGGTACCTGTGCGGTCATGGTGAGGTGGTTGAGGAGGCCGCATGGGGCCCCGTCGGGCGTGTATGATAGTGATGTGCCGGTACCTGTGCGGTCATGGTGAGGTGGTTGAGGAGGCCGCATGGGGCGCCTTCGGGCGTGTATGATAGTGATGTGCCGGTACCTGTGCGGTCATGGTGAGGTGGTTGAGGAGGCCGCATGGGGCCCCGTCGGGCGTGTATGATAGTGATGTGCCGGTACCTGTGCGGTCATGGTGAGGTGGTTGAACAGGCCGCATGGGGCCCCGTCGGGCGTGTATGATAGTGATGTGCCGGTACCTGTGCGGTCATGGTGAGGTGGTTGAGGAGGCCGCATGGGGCCCCGTCGGGCGTGTATGATAGTGATGTGCCGGTACCTGTGCGGTCATGGTGAGGTGGTTGAGGAGGCCGCATGGGGCCCCGTCGGGCGTGTATGACAGTGATGTGCCGGTACCTGTGCGGTCATGGTGAGGTGGTTGAGGAGGCCGCATGGGGCCCCGTCGGGCGTGTATGATAGTGATGTGCCGGTCCCTGTGCGGTCATGGTGAGGTGGTTGAGGAGGCCGCATGGGGCCCCGTCGGGCGTGTATGATAGTGATGTGCCGGTACCTGTGCGGTCATGGTGAGGTGGTTGAGGAGGCCGCATGGGGCCCCGTCGGGCGTGTATGATAGTGATGTGCCGGTACCTGTGCGGTCATGGTGAGGTGGTTGAGGAGGCCGCATGGGGCCCCGTCGGGCGTGTGCACGGGGCACACGAAGCCCCACGCGTCGGGCAGCAGTTGTCGCACTTCTGTCGTACGCATCTCCATGAAGAACGAACCGCGATGGATAGCCCTAGGTTACGAAACAGAGTAACTGAGGTGGATTGTTCACTCAACAGTAGAACTTCCCGAGATTCTAGACTCCGAATTTCTCATTTAAGTATTTCTATCGATATGTAAGTACTTAAATAAAAATAAAAAAAAAAACTTTAAATTAGTATTGCATAACATTCACATTTAGGTCTCCAATAGTTTATAAGTATTTTTCGAATTTTCATATGATATATTGGTTAGGGGGCGTCCATAAATTACGTGAGGTGTTTTTTTTAATTTTCTGACCCTCCCTCCCCCCCTGGTGAGATGTCGTGAGATTTTATTCAACCGCCTCCCCCATTCCCCAATCTCACGTGAGATTTTTCAAAATGCAATTTGATGAGTACTTGCGAGTATTTGCCTTGTTGTAGTATCGAGTATAGCTTTTGAAAGTATCGATGCCTACTCTATATCGAAAGTATCGTTCGAACCCTACAAATATGGTGGTTTGACATTCAGTAGATGTATAGTGTTGAAGTATGAATAAAATTATTTTCTTTTGAACGAATTAGTGAATGATCTTAATCGTATACGATTACGCTTAAAATTAAATCTTAAGCATGTACAATCTGGATTAAATGAACCAAAATAGTGTTTTTTTGTTTTTGTTTCAATCAGAAAAAAAAATTGCGTGATATTTGCCGAGACCCCCCCTCTCTCCAACGTAAGATTAGATGAGATTTGCCTCGACCCCCTCCTCCCCTTAAACATCTCACGTAATTTATGGACGCCCCCTTACAGTTGAACGTTGAATAAGTACTAAGCATGCCCCTTTTTGTAACACATATCACTAAGATATTACTCACTTGAAATGCGACATATATCGCATTCTATTAATATTCTCCGCTACGATAGTGAGCCCTTTGTACTGAGTCAGGTTCACATTATTGGACGGCGCATTTCCTGTCGCCAAAAACGTCTCCATCTTATTTTCTAATGTACCAGCCATACGCAACATGATTTGAATATCTTTCTGTGAACAAATAATTTAATTTATTAATGATTAGTCCTATGAATTTATTTTTATATTTATAGAAAACTCCTAAGATATTCTTTAAAATCATATGGTTTAAAATATAATAACAATGAGCATGAAATGCTTAAGATAACTTAAGTATAATAGTTGATAAAGATTAATAAATAGTTTTCCAACTTCACGTAACTAACGAGAATGATAATTGAAAAATATTAAACACTTATTTATTTTTTGCGTAATCAATAATTACGATACATTGAGTAGAAATCACATGACGTCACATTTTTGTACATTTTTTACGCATTTGCGACGTAACGAGCTCCCACTCCTCAACTTTAATGCTTCACATCTAAGCTATATCTTGTTGAATTGAAACAAAAAAAAAATGGTTCTAATATTTTTCTGTCATCTGGGTGACGGACGACATACAATATCATTTTTATACCCAGGTATATCACACTGACATTAAATCGCAATATATCACGTGATCTTGTAACTCAAAACGGTAATAATGATAGTATATAGTTCTCAGACCCACACTCCACCAAAGCGGAGATCTGCGGAGATGTCTAATGTGGAGACGAGAAGAGATGTTATTCGATTCGGGTGAATCCACCGAAGCTGTGCGGAGATGCGTATTGTGTCGCGGAGATGTGCGTTAGATAGCGTTGAGAGTGTGCAAGGCATTGAGTGCTCAGTTCGCGTTCTGACACGAAAGGTAGACGTTATGTCGCTTTTACAAAAACGTACGCTCACATCTTCTCGTCTCCGCTGCATCTCGTCAAGGCACAACTCTCATCTCCGCTTCCATCGCACCATACAAATATAAAACATCTCCGCTTAGCGATCTCCACTGGAGCTTAGCGGAGACGAGATGTATGAATAGCGTAATTCTATTGGTTGTTTAAAAAACATCTCCTCTGCATTCGTCTCGTCTCCGCTTTGGTGGAGTGTGGGCCTTATACTCCTCATAATACTTACAGCTTCAACCCTGAGACGGCCGGCTGCTTGACACCGTTTGTTGATCAAAATTCGCATTGTCACCATAATCGCTTGTAGCCTCTCTTTCAAGATCTGCAGGTACAAATGTCCCCCGAGGAGCAATTCTTGGACCATTACTGCATCAGCACCTTCGACCTATAAAAACGAGTATTATAAGAAAATAACTTTGAAACTTATTATATGAACTATATTTTCTTTTATATTTATTATATTTTTTACTAAATAAGAATATAAAAAAATTTACTACACCCTATTCAAACAATATTAAAGAAGAACACGTATCATTCGTGAGTGCACCTATACCCACCTTGCACTTGTTCTGCACCAAGTCGCCGAGCTTCTGCGTCATGTAGACGAGCTGGTGGAACTTGTCGGTGTAGCTGTCGAGGTGTATGAGCACGCAGCGCCGCAGCAGGAACTCGGCGGCCTCCTCGTCGCTCGCGTCCGGCGGCAGCTCCACCAGCCGCGGCCGGAACATGCGGCCGAGGTACGAGCGGCACGACGACATGGAGTGGAGGCCCTCCTCGTGGATCTCCCGCAACATATTCTGTATGCAGCTGTGCGCGAAGTCATATGTTTACTACGAATCATCATCACCAGCTCTCATACGAGCTGGCCGGTACGAGGATTGTTAAGGAGGATATGCCCATGACCCTCCGCGCTAGCCCAGTGCGAATTGGAGGGTATTAACGTAATGCAAATGCAGCCGAAATCGACGGTTTAACGTGCCGTCTGTCGATTCTGAAATTGGACGGCAATGGTTGCGAAATTGTAAAGACGCTTCAGCACCTGTATATACCACCGATCGACTTGGCACTGCTGCAAGGACTCTAAGACAGATCAAGTCTCAACTGAGCTAAGCACAAGGACCAATTATACTCTTCTGTTTTTGTATAATCTGCTGTGTGAATGCGGTCTACAGTGCTTAATCTTCTTCGAAACCTGGTCTGCTCCAGTGGTTCAAATTAAAGCTTTTGGAATGAAAAAAAAATATAACTTGAAAAATATACTTTGATAAATCTATATTTATGTTGTTTATTAAGCTTCATTCACTTTTTATATATAAGAACTTATTTTAGATGAAATAATTTTAAATGAATAAACATATAGCGCCTTCATCCTCTTGACAAGGACTCTTGTTAAGAGGGTTATCTGGTGGTTCTCGTGAACTGTTAAAGAATGCAGGTTCATTTTACAGATCTGGTACCACTTTCAAACCGATAATTAAACAACTACCGTCAGATCATTTTGGACAAGTAGTTAACTTTCCGCATAAACGTACGTTTGTGGCTAGGAGTGACATTACAGTTGTGTCAAAAAGTATGAGTCGCTTGTAACGTTTTAAAAATCAATTAGATAGTAAATTGTATCAAAATGAAACATAATAGTAATCCCAATGATTTGTACAAAGATTTCTTTGATGTTTATTGTACAGAATTCAAAAAGATTTTTGTCCCAAAAAAAAATTAGTATTAGTAATCCTATAACTTTTAGTGTGTGGGCTACACCAGGTATCTACAAAAGCAGAAAAAGGCTCTATGAACTAAATGATGAACGTAATTATAACACAAGTGATGACGTCAAAGTGTGTCGTTTAGCCAAATGTTATTATTTAAATGCAAAAATTAAAAATATTAAAGATAAAGTTAAAATGACGTGGAATATCATAAATAGTGAAACTGGAAGAGAAAAATCCCGGAATATAAATTTTAATTTAAACATTGATGATAAAAAAGTAACATCAGATCCTGAAGTTGCTACAGTATTTGAAAATTTATTTACTGAAATTCCAGTCTTAATTACACAATCTTTGAATTCCTCTTCCACTGTTGCTGAATCTATTTTAAAGGCAAGCTTAAATAATTCTAATAGCCAATTTAAGTTTCAACACATTGATTTTAAAGATATAATAAAATATTTTAATCAGCTAAAGAAAAAGAAAACCGCTGATTTATGGGGTAATTCCATTGAAGTTTCTAAATCGGTAATTGAGACAATAGCTCCAATCTTAGCTTATATATTTAATGAATCTACTGATTGTGGTATTTTTCCTGAGCTCATGAAATATAGTAAAATTATTCCTTTACATAAATCGGGTAGCACATCTGACCCTACTAACTTTAGACCTATATCCGTGCTACCTACGTTTAGTAAGATTTTTGAAAAAATCATGCTGGATCAAATACAAACGTACTTTTACAAGAATAAGCTTATGAATCGACAACAATTTGGTTTTACAAGGGGTCGCTCAACAACCGAAGCCGGTGTCGAGTTCATACAAGAAATTTTTAATGCCTGGGAGAATTCACATGATGCGTTAGGTGTTTTCTGTGACCTATTTAAGGCATTTGATTGTGTTTTTCATGAAACATTGATTAGGAAACTGCATTTTTATGGATTTAGAGATAATTCATTGGATTTTATTGTCTCATACTTGACTGTCAGAGTACAGAGGATTGATATCAATGGCAAAAGATCCCTGGATCGAAAGTTAAGATGGGTGTTCCGCAGGGCTCAATACTTGGTCCTTTCTTGTTTTCGATTTACATAAATGACTTGCCTTATTTCGTAAGGGATGATCACGAAATAGTTTTGTTTGCGGATGACACTTCACTTTTGTTTAAAATTAAAAGAGGGTTACCTCTAAATGACGATGTGAACAATTCTATTGCTAAAGTAGTACATTGGTTTAATGTAAATAATCTTCTCCTTAATGAAGGAAAAACAAAATGCTTAAAATTTGTACTACCTAATGCTAAAAAAGTAGATATAAATGTTAATATAAAAGATAAGAACATGGGCCTTGTGAATACCACAGTATTTTTAGGAATAACATTAGATTCTAAACTACCGTGGGGCCCACATATTGATAGATTATCGAGTAAACTTAGCTCTGCAGCATTTGCCATAATGAAAATACGTAGGTTAACTGACATAGATACTGCCAGATTAGTATACTTCAGTTACTTTCATAGTGTAATGTAGTACGGAAGCCTATTGTGGGGAAATGCTGCCAACATACAAACAATTTTTGTGCTTCAGAAAAGAGCAATTTGATGAATTTATAATCCTTAGGATTAGGGACTCTTTAAGGGAGAAATTTAAAGAAATAAACATTATGACTGTTGCTTCTCAATACATATACGAAAACTTAATGAATGTTCGTAAAAATATTAGTTTGTTTTCTATAAAAAGTGATGTACACAATTTTAATACAAAAAATAAAAATAAATTAACGGTGCCTGTCACTAGACTGCAAAAAGTTAATAACTCATTCAAGGGCCTTTGAGTGCTCTTCTACAATAAGGTCCCAACCAAAATACTATTAAAAAAATACTTATTAAAAAAGCTTATTATGAGGTATCCGATTATATAACAGATAAGAACGCTTGGACTTCAGATGATCTAGCAACTGGATAGGTGATTACTTCTAAACTCATTATCCTGTTTCCATTATTATTAAATGATTATGTTATCATTATAAGATCAGTTTTTTTTTTCTATCTCTGTTTATAATCTATTGATCTTGTAATGACATGGTTTTTGTAAATGTCATTACTCTTATTAGAGCTGGTGAATTTCTTGCTCATTCTTCTTATCGGCCAAAAGACGTCCTGAACGAGTGTTAGGGAAAAAAATGTTGGACGATTCAAAAGTACTTTTAAGAAGTCTATTTGAATAAAGATTATTTTGATTTTGACTTTGTTCAAGAAAAAAAAATAGTTATATGGCCTTGATTATGCTTGCATAATTTTAGGTACTATAATAATATAACATAATATGTATATTATAAGTATAGAATTAAATGTTATATTGTAATGTGCTCACTTGACATAGTATAAGTCGTCCTTCTTCCCATGCAGCAGTAACCTGTAGATATAATGATCGACCCAATCCACTAAACATTTGAGTATGAGAACCAGAGGAGCGTAGTACATTGCGCGACGATGCGAAAACATCAACTTGCATGTGCCATTTTGAAGAAAATGGAGAACATTATTCTGAAATAAGTAAAGTTTTATAATCCTCCGCTGTAATTTCGTAAAAAGTGTACAAAGTTTTTTGCTTCGTGTTATATTATTTTATTGTAATCGATATATTTGCACACTTCATGCTAAAAAGAAATTACACAATAAGCGCAAAGTTCAAAACTCCAAAACTGTTACAAAATAATAATTAAATTTTGTCTAAAATCACATATACAAAAATATTATATATTAAAATACATAATATGATACTGACATTTTAATAACTAGTAGTCTATATAATGAGAAATAGCCAACTTACAGTTGCTGTCTGATCAGACTTGACACATCGTATTAGAACACCGTAATCTGTGAATAGATCACCTCTCATCTTCCAAGTTGGTCTCTTGATCGCCACAGGGTAGTTACGTCTGGTGACCAACAGCATACGTACTAACCGTTCATGTCCCTGCATAAAAGTCGCACACTGTTAATTCAATTTTAACAATTGACAATTTCTCATTTGTTTTCCTTTAAAATTATTGATTACACATATAACAGATTACTACAAAAGACCTTTCTATGTCAATGTTGAACTTAATAATCAACAGATCAAGGCTTGAAGACATTTCACATGGCCAATCAAAATCTGAATTCAACAATTGCAAATTGAAACCTTTATGTTCAAGGTTTTACATGTTTATGTTTAAGGCATGTTTAAGGTTTGACCTTATGTTTAAAAATTTTTTGTTACCAATTGATGCAATTTGACCTTTTGTTGATGAGTTCTTTAAGTACTCTGATATATGGTTAATAATTATGTTTTATTAGCATGTACATATCAAATTCTAATTGTGATGTCAGTAGTGCTAATTCTGTTGTATCAAAGATTAAACTAAGCCAAACTAAAGTACATCTGATTTTAACTTTACTCTATAGTCACATCAACATAGTCAAACAAAAGAATATAAGTAAAGTTATCATATACCTAATACTATACTAAGTTTCCTTATGTTACTGAAGTCATTTAAAGACTTGAAAACAAAAAACCTAAACTTAAAACCAAACTTAGTTTATTTTATGAGTTATACCGAAAACTTTTAGTTTTTCTTGTAATTCCATTTGAAATATTACCTTAACAACAAAGTATCCGCCCCATTCATCGGCATGTTCGTTATGTTTTACCAGCTCTTCTGGAGACATGTCAGCCAAGTGACACAGTTTTGACTAGAACACAACTCAAAATTTAAAAAAACCTGTAGAAATCTTAACATAAATAATTGATCTCATTCATCTAAACAATGAATATATACACAGGCATGCAACTGACTGCACAATCAATGCACTACTCAAACTTCTGGACCAATTGAACTGAATTTGTCACACATAGTGTTATTATGAATCACCTAATATGGGATTTACAAAAAAAAATAAGAGAAAATGTTATAATCCACTCAGGCAAAACTGTAAGTGGAATGTTAACAGTTTCTTATTTCTTATACCTTTATCATTATAGGTAATGATCCTAGCGATCTATCAACTTCTATTGTTTTTCCATCAATATTTATAGACAATCGTATCCTAAAGTCTCCTTTATAAGTTGCTGCCCTTTGTCTGCATTCTGTTGGAAACACCTTCAAGTTCTTGACTCCTATAACATCCATAGGTACACAAGGCTTGGAGAATGCAGCTTCTTCTATAACTATCTTCACTCTTTCTCCAGTCGGAGTTTTGAAATCAACCGGTATGAGGTCCGCAACCGCCGCCTTCAGACCATCTTGTACCATATAGTTAAATGAATCTATATGGGGTGCTCCAAGACATTGTAAATACTGAAAAGCAAGTATCCAATTGACCAAACATGTATATAAAGTGGCATCCACTTTTTTTATTAGCAGATGCTTTTTATCTTATTTTAATGTAATATTGATTTGACAGTCAGTATTGGAAACAAATAAAGTAGATCACAAAGAGTACATTAAGCTACTTTTAACCCTGTAATAATGTAGAAAACGAATGTTAAACTTACCGGGTTATCAGTTGGTTTACTGTACTCTTTATTGCTTGTATAAGCAAGTGACGGGTTTTTTGCGACTTTTTTGGGGTTCATCTTTGTCTTTTAATTCACATTTGTATAAAATTAACGTTTATAAATTTAAAATATCATGATAAAACACAACCACACCGCCTGCACGTGCAATTATTTATTGAAATTTTCATGTCAATGTCACCTCATTTAGGGATGTGAAAAATTATCCAATAATCGATTTTACTACATCAATGAAATATCACTTACAAAACGATTAATATTTTTATAAGTATTATTTAATAAACATTCCATCTATTTCTACTTTTAAATTAGGTTTATTTTGAGCGTAATCATATGTAATCTAAGAAAATATACAAACTTGCATACAATATTTGTGATACTGTTTATTAAAAAAAAAAGATAATAATAAAAATGGGTTTATATGTAAAAAGTCATAATCATTATAAACAGACTATTAGAGAATCTCCTCTGTTTTTATTATTATTATTATTGGTTAAAATACGAAAAACAACGATAATCATTAGTAGGATTAATTATTAGATGGTCACTATGTGCTTTCTTACAGGGTCATCCTTAAATATATAAACTATCTGTAATACGACGCTTAGATGAGATCGTGTACATGGTGCACAGCCAAATTTTTATTAATTTGTCATTTTTTTTCGATAATATTCGACGAATATGAAATGGCAATTATTTTTTGAATATCTAAGTAATGTTTTGGTTTAATGATTTCAATTATAATAATTAGGGATTTCTAACTTATAATGGTTGATTATATAAATAAATTCTTATTTAAGTTGCATATTATAAATATGTTATGGTGTTGATTATTTTAGATCAATAAACTTTCTCGTTTCTTTAAATTTAATATGTTAATGAGAATAATAGATTATTCTAAGAAAATCAATTAGTTTAAATAAAAAAATTAGTACACATTTATGTACTTCAGATTTTACATGCGCTTTATTTAGCCTATTATAACTTTCTGACCACAGTTCATTTACTACACTATAAACTCGTTTAGGGGCGGCGCTTAAGCTTGTTTCTTTGAAAATGAAACAACGAACTTCTCGCAATACAGCCATCATCGTATAATTTGGATAAATTTGGGATAAAAATACTATATTTGGTAACGCTGCTGTCAAATCTACAATCATCATTATTTATGATTCGTTCGTCATTAATAAAGTAAATGTTAAAGACGCAAAATTAAACGTAATAACGACACAACATCGCTAAGATGTCGTATCCTATGTTAGGCGGTCGCACCTCTGGAGCCGGGAGATTTTAAAATCTAATACCTTTACCTACTTACCGCTATTTATAAATCTTTGTATCATTTTCATCATCATCATCAGCCCTTTTAAGTCCCCACTGCAGTGACTCAGGCCTTTCTTATGGATGGTTAAGGAGGATGGGCCAAGACCCTCCACGCTGGCCCAATGCGGATTGGAGGGTATTAACGACTGGAAATGCAGCCGGGACCAACGGCTTAACGTGCCTTCCGAAGCACGGAGTAGCTCGAGATACTAAATTTTTGGTCACCCATCCCGTGACCGACCCTAGCGTAATTTGCTTAACGACATCGATCGCGGGCCGCCGCGCTTATCCACTACGCTACCGAGCTACTTAAGGGTGTATCATTTTACCGTAATACTACCTACGGGTGGGGTATAAGAATTGTTTTTGTCCTTTTAATATTATCATTGTTTTTTTATTGATAAACGAGTCAAGAGACAAGAGTGAATCGGTTCCTTCTAGGCAAGCATGCTCCATCTTAGACCACTGCATTGCTTACCATCAGGTGATCTGTGGTCAAGCGCTTGCCTTTCTAGCATAAAAAAAAAACGATCTACTTCGTACGATTATATAAAACGACTTTGGGTTATCTACATAAATAAATACCACAATAAATGTTCATTTTCTACATCGACCAGGGGCTCTATTTTTGAATCATTCGTCTCGCGTCGAGCGCTCGTTTTCTACTGATTTTCGTTCGACTTAACAAATTCGCCATTTCTAAATCGCTCGACTGCAACGAATGGTATGAACCACTCGTCGCTTAGCGAACGTTGTATGCGAGTGATAGTAGAAAACGAGCGCTCGACGCGAGACGAATGATTCAAAAATAGAGCCCCCGATCGGAAATTGTACCTGGAACTTTAGAGATGGCAACATCTTGACACCGAATGCGAGTTGCGAGTCAATCAGGTACTGAGGTCGTCATTATATAATTTTGATAGTTATAAACTTAGAAAATATATTTACGACTGATGACGGTGATGGTGGTGATCATGTGAAGTACTTGAGAATGTTAACAATATGGCTAATTATTAAATCACAGATACCTCTGGAAGTTTAGTGACAAAAATATTTTATTTTATCTCAAATAGGTAGCTCGGTGGCGTAGTGGATAAGCGCCGCGGCCCGCGATCGTAGTCGTTAAGCAACTTTCGCAAGGGTCGGTCACGGGATGGGTGATCAAAAAATTATTATCTCGAGCTACTCCGTGCTTCGGAAGGCACATTAAGCCGTTGGTCCCGGCTGCATTTGCAGTCGTTAATACCCTCCAATCCGCATTGGGCCAGCGTGGAGGGTCATGGCCCATCCTCCTTAACCATCCATAAGGAAGAAAGTCGTGATTTTTACGTTGCCGTATTGCAATAGTTTGTCCAATGAAGAAAATAATTTGCGATACAAATTGAATATGACATTGCACACTATATGCAATACTGCAAAGTTTCATGTCATTGACACTAACAAGTATGTTAGAAAATTTTATTTGACTAAAGATAAATATTATCTTTCCAATTATTATAAGAGACAAATAGCTATTTCGCTATCATATTTTTTTTCTATAACAGCCAAAAATTTGGCTAACCAGAGTGCTCCTATTGAGCACTCTTCTATTGACATGACTGTCAGTAATAATCCTACTGACATTGCGACAAATTCGTCTTTAAATTAGATACTAAGACAACAGAGGATTCCTCTTGCTTGCTATTGAATAGTCAAAGTAATAATGGAACCAAGAGTTTTTCAGTCATCAACCTAGTGCACCAAAATGTTCAAGGAATGTTGAGTAAAGAGTTAGAAGTGGAATTATTCATGAACTGTAACAATGTTGATTTTTTCTGTATTACGGAACATTGGTTAACAAGTTATAATTGCATTTTTAACTTCAATAATCACCTGGTTGGTAGCGCGTTCATTAGGAAAAACGCAATGCGTGGTGGCGCACTAATTTTATTAAATAAAAAGTTTAAATTTAAAGAACGTAGAGATATAGTGAGCCTATCGGTTGAGGAAATAATAGAGATTGCCTGTATAGAGCTGGACCAGCTGATTGTACTGAGCGTATATAGACCTCCTTCAAGTTTAGTTTCTCATTATGATCTCTTTGAAACTGTTATGGATGAAGCATTAAAAAAGGTATATAGCAAAGGCAAACGATTAGTGATTGGGGGTGATTTTAACGTTGATTTATTAGGAAACTCCAATTCATGTACAAGACTTGTAAATCTATTTATGTCCTATAATCTTGCGCACATGTTTAAGGAGCCTACTAGAGTAACTGCTACTTCGTCCACATGTATTGACAACATTTTTACAGATCTAGTACCACTTTCAAGACAGATAATTAAACAACTACCGTCAGATCATTTTGGACAACTAGTTAGCTTTCCGCATAAATGTACGTTTGTGGCTAGGAGAGACATTACAGTTGTGTCAAAAAGTATGAGTCGCTTGGAACGTTTTAAAAATCAATTAGATAGTAAATTGTATCATTTGAAACATAATAGTAATCCCAATGATTTGTACAAAGATTTCTTTGATGTTTATTGTACAGAATTCAATAAGATTTTTGTCCCAAAAAAAATAAGTATTAGTAATCCTATAACTTTTAGTGTGTGGGCTACACCAGGAATCTACAAAAGCAGAAAAAGGCTCTATGAACTATATGATGAACGTAATTATAACACAAGTGAGGACTTCAAAGAATATGTACGAAATTACTCTAAATTATTTAAAAAAGTGTGTCGTTTAGCCAAATGTAATTATTTAAATGCAAAAATTGAAAATAGTAAAGACAAAGTTAAAATGACGTGGAATATCATAAATAGTGAAACTGGAAGAGAAAAATCCCGGAATATAAATTTTAATTTAAACATTGATAATAAAAAAGTAACATCAGATCTTGAAGTTGCTACAGTATTTGAAAATTTATTTACTGAAATTCCAGTCTTAATTACACAATCTTTGAATTCCTCTTCCACTGCTGCTGAATCTATTTTAAAGGCAAGTTTAAATAATTCTAATAGCCAATTTAAGTTTCAACACATTGATTTTAAAGATATAATAAAATCTTTTAATCAGCTAAAGAAAACGAAAACTGCTGATTTATGGGGTAATTCCATTGAAGTTTCTAAATCGGTAATTGAGACAATAGCTCCAATCTTAGCTTATATATTTAATGAATGTACTGATTGTGGTATTTTTCCTGAGCTCATGAAATATAGTAAAATTATTCCTTTACATAAATCGGGTAGCACATCTGACCCTACTAACTTTAGACCTATATCCGTGCTACCTACGTTTAGTAAGATTTTTGAAAAAATCATGCTGGATCAAATGCAAACGTACTTTTACAAGAATAAGCTTATGAATCGACAACAATTTGGTTTTACAAGGGGTCGCTCGACAACCGAAGCCGGTGTCGAGTTAATACAAGAAATTTTTAATGCCTGGGAGGATTCACATGATGCGTTAGGTGTTTTCTGTGACCTATCTAAGGCATTTGATTGTGTTTTTCATGAAACATTGATTAGGAAACTGCATTTTTATGGATTTAGAGATAACTCATTGGATTTTATTGTCTCATACTTGACTGACAGAGTACAGAGGGTTGATATCAATGGCAAAAGATCCCCTGGATCGAAAATTAAGATGGGCGTTCCGCAGGGCTCAATACTCGGTCCTTTCTTGTTTTTGATTTACATAAATGACTTGCCTTATTTCGTAAGGGATGATCACGAAATAGTTTTGTTTGCGGATGACACTTCACTCTTGTTTAAAATTAAAAGAGGGTTACCTCTAAATGACGATGTGAACAATTCTATCGCTAAAGTAGTACATTGGTTTAATGTAA